ATGTCCCCATGTCCAGCTAGTGACCAGAGAATTATGTCCAGCTAGTGACCAGAGAATTATGTCCCCATGTCCAGCTAGTGACCAGAGAATTATGTCCCCATGTCCAGCTAGTGACCAGAGAATTATGTCCAGCTAGTGACCAGAGAATTATGTCCCCATGTCCAGCCAGTGACCAGAGAATTATGTCCCCATGTCCAGCTAGTGACCAGAGAATTATGTCCAGCTAGTGACCAGAGAATTATGTCCAGCTAGTGACCAGAGAATTATGTCCCCATGTCCAGCTAGTGACCAGAGAATTATGTCCCCATGTCCAGCTAGTGACCAGAGAATTATGTCCCCATGTCCAGCTAGTGACCAGAGAATTATGTCCCCATGTCCAGCTAGTGACCAGAGAATTATGTCCCCATGTCCAGCTAGTGACCAGAGAATTATGTCCCCATGTCCAGCTAGTGACCAGAGAATTATGTCCCCATGTCCAGCTAGTGACCAGAGAATTATGTCCCCATGTCCAGCTAGTGACCAGAGAATTATGTCCCCATGTCCAGCTAGTGACCAGAGAATTATGTCCAGCTAGTGACCAGAGAATTATGTCCCCATGTCCAGCTAGTGACCAGAGAATTATGTCCCCATGTCCAGCTAGTGACCAGAGAATTATGTCCCCATGTCCAGCTAGTGACCAGAGAATTATGTCCAGCTAGTGACCAGAGAATTATGTCCCCATGTCCAGCTAGTGACCAGAGAATTATGTCCAGCTAGTGACCAGAGAATTATGCCCCCATGTCCAGCTAGTGACCAGAGAATTATGTCCCCATGTCCAGCTAGTGACCAGAGAATTATGTCCCCATGTCCAGCTAGTGACCAGAGAATTATGTCCAGCTAGTGACCAGAGAATTATGTCCCCATGTCCAGCTAGTGACCAGAGAATTATGTCCAGCTAGTGACCAGAAAATTATGCCCCCATGTCCAGCTAGTGACCAGAGAATTATGTCCCCATGTCCAGCTAGTGACCAGAGAATTATGTCCAGCTAGTGACCAGAGAATTATGTCCCCATGTCCAGCTAGTGACCAGAGAATTATGTCCAGCCAGTGACCAGAGAATTATGCCCCCATGTCCAGCTAGTGACCAGAGAATTATGTCCCCATGTCCAGCCAGTGACCAGAGAATTATGTCCCCATGTCCAGCTAGTGACCAGAGAATTATGTCCCCATGTCCAGCTAGTGACCAGAGAATTATGTCCCCATGTCCAGCCAGTGACCAGAGAATTATGTCCCCATGTCCAGCTAGTGACCAGAGAATTATGTCCCCATGTCCAGCTAGTGACCAGAGAATTATGTCCCCATGTCCAGCTAGTGACCAGAGAATTATGTCCCCATGTCCAGCCAGTGACCAGAGAATTATGTCCCCATGTCCAGCTAGTGACCAGAGAATTATGTCCCCATGTCCAGCTAGTGACCAGAGAATTATGTCCCCATGTCCAGCTAGTGACCAGAGAATTATGTCCCCATGTCCAGCCAGTGACCAGAGAATTATGTCCCCATGTCCAGCTAGTGACCAGAGAATTATGTCCCCATGTCCAGCTAGTGACCAGAGAATTATGTCCCCATGTCCAGCTAGTGACCAGAGAATTATGTCCCCATGTCCAGCCAGTGACCAGAGAATTATGTCCAGCTAGTGACCAGAGAATTATGTCCCCATGTCCAGCTAGTGACCAGAGAATTATGTCCCCATGTCCAGCCAGTGACCAGAGAATTATGTCCAGCTAGTGACCAGAGAATTATGTCCAGCTAGTGACCAGAGAATTATGTCCCCATGTCCAGCTAGTGACCAGAGAATTATGTCCCCATGTCCAGCTAGTGACCAGAGAATTATGTCCCCATGTCCAGCTAGTGACCAGAGAATTATGTCCCCATGTCCAGCTAGTGACCAGAGAATTATGTCCCCATGTCCAGCTAGTGACCAGAGAATTATGTCCCCATGTCCAGCTAGTGACCAGAGAATTATGTCCAGCTAGTGACCAGAGAATTATGTCCCCATGTCCAGCTAGTGACCAGAGAATTATGTCCCCATGTCCAGCTAGTGACCAGAGAATTATGTCCAGCTAGTGACCAGAGAATTATGTCCCCATGTCCAGCTAGTGACCAGAGAATTATGTCCAGCTAGTGACCAGAGAATTATGTCCCCATGTCCAGCTAGTGACCAGAGAATTATGTCCCCATGTCCAGCCAGTGACCAGAGAATTATGTCCCCATGTCCAGCTAGTGACCAGAGAATTATGTCCCCATGTCCAGCTAGTGACCAGAGAACTATGTCCCCATGTCCAGCTAGTGACCAGAGAATTATGTCCCCATGTCCAGCTAGTGACCAGAGAATTATGTCCCCATGTCCAGCTAGTGACCAGAGAATTATGTCCCCATGTCCAGCTAGTGACCAGAGAATTATGTCCCCATGTCCAGCTAGTGACCAGAGAATTATGTCCCCATGTCCAGCTAGTGACCAGAGAATTATGTCCAGCTAGTGACCAGAGAATTATGTCCCCATGTCCAGCTAGTGACCAGAGAATTATGTCCCCATGTCCAGCTAGTGACCAGAGAATTATGTCCCCATGTCCAGCTAGTGACCAGAGAATTATGTCCAGCTAGTGACCAGAGAATTATGTCCCCATGTCCAGCTAGTGACCAGAGAATTATGTCCAGCTATTGACCAGAGAATTATGCCCCCTGTCCAGCTAGTGACCAGAGAATTATGTCCCCATGTCCAGCTAGTGACCAGAGAATTATGTCCAGCTAGTGACCAGAGAATTATGTCCCCATGTCCAGCTAGTGACCAGAGAATTATGTCCAGCTAGTGACCAGAGAATTATGTCCCCATGTCCAGCTAGTGACCAGAGAATTATGTCCAGCCAGTGACCAGAGAATTATGTCCCCATGTCCAGCTAGTGACCAGAGAATTATGTCCCCGTCCAGCCAGTGACCAGAGAATTATGTCCCCATGTCCAGCTAGTGACCAGAGAATTATGTCCCCATGTCCAGCCAGTGACCAGAGAATTATGTCCAGCCAGTGACCAGAGAATTATGTCCCCATGTCCAGCTAGTGACCAGAGAATTATGTCCAGCCAGTGACCAGAGAATTATGTCCCCATGTCCAGCTAGTGACCAGAGAATTATGTCCCCATGTCCAGCTAGTGACCAGAGAATTATGTCCCCATGTCCAGCCAGTGACCAGAGAATTATGTCCCCATGTCCAGCTAGTGACCAGAGAATTATGTCCAGCTAGTGGCCAGAGAATTATGCCCCCATGTCCAGCTAGTGACCAGAGAATTATGTCCAGCTAGTGACCAGAGAATTATGTCCCCATGTCCAGCTAGTGACCAGAGAATTATGTCCAGCTAGTGACCAGAGAATTATGCCCCCATGTCCAGCTAGTGACCAGAGAATTATGTCCCCATGTCCAGCTAGTGACCAGAGAATTATGTCCAGCTAGTGACCAGAGAATTATGTCCCCATGTCCAGCTAGTGACCAGAGAATTATGTCCCCATGTCCAGCCAGTGACCAGAGAATTATGTCCCCATGTCCAGCTAGTGACCAGAGAATTATGTCCCCATGTCCAGCCAGTGACCAGAGAATTATGTCCAGCTAGTGACCAGAGAATTATGTCCCCATGTCCAGCTAGTGACCAGAGAATTATGTCCACATGTCCAGCCAGTGACCAGAGAATTATGTCCAGCTAGTGACCAGAGAATTATGTCCCCATGTCCAGCTAGTGACCAGAGAATTATGTCCCCATGTCCAGCCAGTGACCAGAGAATTATGTCCCCATGTCCAGCTAGTGACCAGAGAATTATGTCCCCATGTCCAGCTAGTGACCAGAGAATTATGTCCCCATGTCCAGCTAGTGACCAGAGAATTATGTCCCCATGTCCAGGTAGTGACCAGAGAATTATGTCCAGCCAGTGACCAGAGAATTATGTCCAGCTAGTGACCAGAGAATTATGTCCCCATGTCCAGCTAGTGACCAGAGAATTATGTCCCCATGTCCAGCCAGTGACCAGAGAATTATGTCCAGCTAGTGACCAGAGAATTATGTCCAGCTAGTGACCAGAGAATTATGTCCCCATGTCCAGCTAGTGACCAGAGAATTATGTCCCCATGTCCAGCTAGTGACCAGAGAATTATGTCCCCATGTCCAGCTAGTGACCAGAGAATTATGTCCCCATGTCCAGCTAGTGACCAGAGAATTATGTCCCCATGTCCAGCTAGTGACCAGAGAATTATGTCCCCATGTCCAGCTAGTGACCAGAGAATTATGTCCAGCTAGTGACCAGAGAATTATGTCCCCATGTCCAGCTAGTGACCAGAGAATTATGTCCCCATGTCCAGCTAGTGACCAGAGAATTATGTCCAGCTAGTGACCAGAGAATTATGTCCCCATGTCCAGCCAGTGACCAGAGAATTATGTCCCCATGTCCAGCTAGTGACCAGAGAATTATGTCCCCATGTCCAGCTAGTGACCAGAGAATTATGTCCCCATGTCCAGCCAGTGACCAGAGAATTATGTCCAGCTAGTGACCAGAGAATTATGTCCCCATGTCCAGCTAGTGACCAGAGAATTATGTCCAGCTAGTGACCAGAGAATTATGTCCCCATGTCCAGCTAGTGACCAGAGAATTATGTCCCCATGTCCAGCCAGTGACCAGAGAATTATGTCCCCATGTCCAGCTAGTGACCAGAGAATTATGTCCCCATGTCCAGCTAGTGACCAGAGAATTATGTCCCCATGTCCAGCCAGTGACCAGAGAATTATGTCCCCATGTCCAGCTAGTGACCAGAGAATTATGTCCCCATGTCCAGCTAGTGACCAGAGAATTATGTCCCCATGTCCAGCTAGTGACCAGAGAATTATGTCCCCATGTCCAGCTAGTGACCAGAGAATTATGTCCCCATGTCCAGCTAGTGACCAGAGAATTTTGTCCAGCTATTGACCAGAGAATTATGTCCCCAGGCCTATGGTCAGCTGCGGCACACATCACTGAACAAGTGTATTGGTACAGGAGAGGATGATAAGCTCCACCTACAAGCTTGTGATACCAGCAACGAGTCCCAACAGTGGGAGATAAACGAGGTTTACCCGTGGAAAGATAAATGATGAGCCTGTCATCTGGAGTGTTGCTTGACTCATGCTGCTTGTCTCTTTACTTAACATGACACGTTTTTTATGTTTTAGCTTTAAAAATATTTGATTTATATCATGTAAGGAAAAAATATTTCAAAACCTTGTGCAAATAATAACTTACACTTACCATTACAGCTACACCAACATACTTACAATTACGGCCACACCAACTAACACATACCATTACACTACAGCTGCACCAACTTACACTTACCATTACAGCTACACCAACATACTTACTATTAAGGCCACACCAACTTACACTCACCATTACAGCTACACCAATTTACACTTACCATTACATTACAGCTACACCAACTTACACTTACCATTACAGATACACCAATTTACACTTACCATTGTTTACAGCTAAACCAACTTACACTTACCATTAGATTACAGCTACACCAACTTACACTTAACATTACAGATACACAACTTACACTTACCATTTGACATCTTTACCGGCTGTAAGTTACCACTTTGACTTCCTGTGACTAGATTGTATTGCTTGCTACCAATGTTATTTTGTGTGCTGATTTTTGAAACTGTTCTGATATATGACATAATCCACAATTGACCTCCCATCACCTCTCTCCTGGCATAGCTACCCCCTTTCTTTAATCATACCCCTCACCCCCTGCTAGTTTGGATATAAGCCCCCTAAATAATACGAATCCTCTCCCCTCCCTCAGACATAACCCCTCCTTCAAACATAACACCTCCCTCAGACATAACCCCTCCCTCAGACATAACCCCTCCTTCAAACATAACACCTCCCTCAGACATAACCCCTCCCTCAGACATAACCCCTCCCTCAGACATAACCCCTCCCTCTGACATAACCCCTCCCTCAGACATAACCCCTCCCTCAGACATAACCCCCCCCCTCAGACATAACCCCTCCCTCAGACATAACCCCTCCCTCAGACATAACCCCTCCCTCAGACATAACCCCTCCTTCAGACATAACCCCTCCCTCAGACATAACCCCTCCCTCAGACATAACCCCTCCCTCAGACATAACCCCTCCCTCAGACATAACCCCTCCCTCAGAGATAACCCCTCCCTCAGACATAACCCCTCCCTCAGACATAACCCCTCCCTCAGACATAACCCCTCCCTCAGACATAACCCCTCCCTCAGACATAACCCCTCCCTCAGACATAACCCCTCCCTCAGACATAACCCCTCCCTCAGACATAACCCCTCCCTCAGACATAACCCCTCCCTTAGACATAACCCCTCCCTCAGACATAACCCCTCCCTCAGACATAACCCCTCCCTCAGACATAACCCCTCCCTTAGACATAACCCCTCCCTCAGACATAACCCCTCCCTCAGACATAACCCCTCCCTCAGACATAACCCCTCCCTCAGACATAACCCCTCCCTCAGACATAACCCCTCCCTCAGACATAACCCCTCCCTCAGACATAACCCCTCCCTTAGACATAACCCCTCCCTCAGACATAACCCCTCCCTCAGACATAACCCCTCCCTCAGACATAACCCCTCCCTCAGACATAACCCCTCCCTCAGACATAGCCCCTCCCTCAGACATAACCCCTCCCTCAGACATAACCCCTCCCTCAGACATAACCCCTCCCTCAGACATAACCCCTCCCTCAGACATAACCCCTCCCTCAGACATAACCCCTCCCTCAGACATAACCCCTCCCTCAGACATAACCCCTCCCTCATACATAACCCCTCCCTTAGACATAACCCCTCCCTCAGACATAACCCCTCCCTCAGACATAACCCCCTCCCCATAATGGTAGTGTAGGGGGTTACTGATGTTGTAGTGGGTCATGCCTGTAAGATGTTTGCCTTAAGATCACAATGTGTCCCTACCCACCTAACCTTGGGCCATTCACGGAGTCAAACCTCACGTCTTATAGAGCAGACTTTTTATTCTTTCATTCACATGGAGGTTTTAGTTCCGCTCTATCATATCATCTTGTGTTGTTCCATCTTTTGTTCTATGATGTGTTGTTCCATCTTTTGTTCTATGTGTTGTTCCATCTTTTGTTCTATGATGTATTGTTCCATCTTTTGTTCTATGCTGTGTTGTTCCATCTTTTGTTCTATGCTGTGTTGTTCCATCTTTTGTTCTATGATGTGTTGTTCCATGTTTTGTTCTATGATGTGTTGTTCCATCTTTTGTTCTGTGATGTGTTGTTCCATCTTTTGTTCTATGATGTATTGTTCCATCTTTTGTTCTATGATGTGTTGTTCCATCTTTTGTTCTGTGATGTGTTGTTCCATCTTTTGTTCTATGATGTGTTGTTCCATCTTTTGTTCTATGATGTGTTGTTCCATCTTTTGTTCTATGATGTGTTGTTCCATCTTTTGTTCTATGATGTGTTGTTCCATCTTTTGTTCTATGATGTATTGTTCCATCTTTTGTTCTATGCTGTGTTGTTCCATCTTTTGTTCTATGATGTGTTGTTCCATCTTTTGTTCTATGATGTGTTGTTCCATCTTTTGTTCTATGATGTGTTGTTCCATCTTTTGTTCTATGATGTGTTGTTCCATCTTTTGTTCTATGATGTGTTGTTCCATCTTTTGTTCTATGATGTGTTGTTTCATCTTTTGTTCTATGATGTGTTGTTCCATCTTTTGTTCTATGATGTGTTGTTCCATCTTTTGTTCTATGATGTATTGTTCCATCTTTTGTTCTATGATGTGTTGTTCCATCTTTTGTTCTATGATGTATTGTTCCATCTTTTGTCCCTTTTGTTCTATGATGTGTTGTTCCATCTTTTGTTCTATGCTGTGTTGTTCCATCTTTTGTTCTATGATGTGTTGTTTTATCTTTTGTTCTATGATGTGTTGTTCCATCTTTTGTTCTATGATGTGTTGTTCCATCTTTTGTTCTATGCTGTATTGTTCCATCTTTTGTTCTATGATGTGTTGTTCCATCTTTTGTTCTATGATATGTGCAGGACATAATTGAAATTATGCTCATGGTACCACTGATTAATTGAACTTTTTTTTTCTGATTTCTATGCATTCACTAAATCATTCCAGTCACTGCCTCTTTCATGATCTGATTTAGGTCATCACAGGTCATGTTGACATCTCTGTTGTGTCACTGTCTGTCACAGGTGGCTGTCACTGGTGTCTGTCACAGGTGTGTGTCACAGGTGTCTGTTGCAGGTTTCCATCACATATGTCTGTCACTCATGTCTGTCACAGGTGTCTGCCACAGATGTCTGTCACAGGTGTCTGTCACCATTCATTTACCTGTTGTACTTTACAGCTGGGCATGAATGAGCCTAATTTCTGCCATATGTTTGTTCACTTATCAGAAACCAGAGTCATCCAATCAAATTTATTGTTACAAAAATGTGGACCGATCATTCACTAATCAATCAAACCTTACAAATGATTAATCAACTTCCATCAACTAAGGAGGACACACTTTCTCTACACTTTCTTTTTATAAACTCACTTTGTTAAAAGCTGCTGGTCTATAAATAGATTGATTTGGTGACCACCAAACTAGCTTGAAATTTCAGTGAGTTATAACAATGTATTAGTCCTGAGTCACCATACAACTGGTCAGTCCTAGGCTGTGTCACCATACAACTGGTCAGTCCTAGGCTGTGTCACCATACAACTGGTCAGTCCTAGGCTGTGTCACCATACAACTGGTCAGTCCTAGGCTGTGTCACCATACAACTGGTCAGTCCTAGGCTGTGTCACCATACAACTGGTCAGTCCTAGGCTGTGTCACCATACAACTGGTCAGTCCTAGGCTGTGTCACCATACAACTGGTCAGTCCTAGGCTGTGTCACCATACAACTGGTCAGTCCTAGGCTGTGTCACCATACAACTGGTCAGTCCTAGGCTGTGTCACCATACAACTGGTCAGTCCTAGGCTGTGTCACCATACAACTGGTCAGTCCTAGGCTGTGTCACCATACAACTGGTCAGTCCTAGGCTGTGTCACCATACAACTGGTCAGTCCTAGGCTGTGTCACCATACAACTGGTCAGTCCTAGGCTGTGTCACCATACAACTGGTTAGTCCTAGGCTGTGTCACCATACAACTGGTCAGTCCTAGGCTGTGTCACCATACAACTGGTCAGTCCTAGGCTGTGTCACCATACAACTGGTCAGTCCTAGGCTGTGTCACCATACAACTGGTCAGTCCTAGGCTGTGTCACCATACAACTGGTCAGTCCTAGGCTGTGTCACCATACAACTGGTTAGTCCTAGGCTGTGTCACCATACAACTGGTCAGTCCTAGGCTGTGTCACCATACAACTGGTCAGTCGAGAATTTATATTTTACTTAATATACTCAGCAACTTTAACTGAATGATTTTATGAAAGACCATCCATTTTCCTCTGTATTTTACCTTGATGTCCTACACAAATGCATAAAAGGTGAATGAAAGCGGCTATTGAATGATGCCAGCAGTGGACTAGTGTTAAGCTGATAGAACCAGCAGCTAGTCCAGGCTGTGGTTGGTTAACCAGCAGCTAGTTCAGGCTGTGGTTGGTTAACCAGCAGCTAGTTCAGGCTGTGGTTGGTTAACCAGCAGCTAGTTCAGGCTGTGGTTGGTTAACCAGCAGCTAGTTCAGGCTGTGGTTGGTTAACCAGCAGCTAGTTCAGGCTGTGGTTGGTTAACCAGCAGCTAGTTCAGGCTGTGGTTGGTTAACCAGCAGCTAGTTCAGGCTGTGGTTGGTTAACCAGCAGCTAGTTCAGGCTGTGGTTGGTTAACCAGCAGCTAGTTCAGGCTGTGGTTGGTTAACCAGCAGCTAGTTCAGGCTGTGGTTGGTTAACCAGCAGCTAGTCCAGGCTGTGGTTGGTTAACCAGCAGCTAGTTCAGGCTGTGGTTGGTTAACCAGCAGCTAGTTCAGGCTGTGGTTGGTTAACCAGCAGCTAGTTCAGGCTGTGGTTGGTTAACCAGCAGCTAGTTCAGGCTGTGGTTGGTTAACCAGCAGCTAGTTCAGGCTGTGGTTGGTTAACCAGCAGCTAGTTCAGGCTGTGGTTGGTTAACCAGCAGCTAGTTCAGGCTGTGGTTGGTTAACCAGCAGCTAGTTCAGGCTGTGGTTGGTTAACCAGCAGCTAGTTCAGGCTGTGGTTGGTTAACCAGCAGCTAGTTCAGGCTGTGGTTGGTTAACCAGCAGCTAGTTCAGGCTGTGGTTGGTTAACCAGCAGCTAGTTCAGGCTGTGGTTGGTTAACCAGCAGCTAGTTCAGGCTGTGGTTGGTTAACCAGCAGCTAGTTCAGGCTGTGGTTGGTTAACCAGCAGCTAGTTCAGGCTGTGGTTGGTTAACCAGCAGCTAGTTCAGGCTGTGGTTGGTTAACCAGCAGCTAGTTCAGGCTGTGGTTGGTTAACCAGCAGCTAGTTCAGGCTGTGGTTGGTTAACCAGCAGCTAGTTCAGGCTGTGGTTGGTTAACCAGCAGCTAGTTCAGGCTGTGGTTGGTTAACCAGCAGCTAGTTCAGGCTGTGGTTGGTTAACCAGCAGCTAGTTCAGGCTGTGGTTGGTTAACCAGCAGCTAGTTCAGGCTGTGGTTGGTTAACCAGCAGCTAGTTCAGGCTGTGGTTGGTTAACCAGCAGCTAGTTCAGGCTGTGGTTGGTTAACCAGCAGCTAGTTCAGGCTGTGGTTGGTTAACCAGCAGCTAGTTCAGGCTGTGGTTGGTTAACCAGCAGCTAGTTCAGGCTGTGGTTGGTTAACCAGCAGCTAGTTCAGGCTGTGGTTGGTTAACCAGCAGCTAGTTCAGGCTGTGGTTGGTTAACCAGCAGCTAGTTCAGGCTGTGGTTGGTTAACCAGCAGCTAGTTCAGGCTGTGGTTGGTTAACCAGCAGCTAGTTCAGGCTGTGGTTGGTTCAAGTTGTAATCATCTGTTTATCAGTGGCAAAGGCAGGGGGAAATTCTATGGATTCTCTCATACACTTACACAATACATATATATCCTTATAATAAAAATAAAACAAAGCTGGTTGGACAACAAACATGATTTAAATATGAAAAAAGCTTTAAAATCTTCTGAATTTATCATAGAATATCATCCTCATGAACTGACAAAAAAAAAATAATGAGAATTTTAGACAAATTTGTATTCAAGTGGCTGTAATGTTCTAAACTGTGTGTCACTCTAAATATTTCAAATGATAGACATGACAGTCTAATGTAGCCAATTATATCAAGATATAAAAACTTGTGTTTATATATGTATGCATGTATGTATGCATGTCTATCATATATTCCCAAACACTTTTTGAGAAGTTAATGCAGTGGTTTGATGACATTGAAAATGTGTAAATTGTGTTGTCATTGACTAAGTATCTTTAAATTACCATGAGATAGCTGTGAATTGGGGGTCTCTGGGCAGTAAGGGTGGCCCCACCACCACCACCCCCTGCCTTTGCCAGCCGTTGATGTTGACTACTATTTGACTGTGCCATTATTATTGTTTTAACTCTACACCTGCTGTAAATGTGTGTTGCTATGGTTACTGTGTACATGGCTGGCCAATGATATTGTGTCAGATAGAATGACTGGTTCTTCTCTTGTACATAGTGGGTACATTTCTATTGGGATGATAAAATAAATTGTTTTCATCATTTCTCTTGATTCTGATCCCATTCATATTACTAGTAGTGTGACTGTTTTTAAAAATGTTTTCTGTGTTAGTAGCAAGGTAGTGGTGTTTTTTGTGGACTATACTCAACTATTTCAGGCCTTAATTATTTATTAAGGATTTATAAATCTTTGTTTAACTATGGAATTAGCTAATTTGGGATATAATTTAATTTGAAATAATAAGGCCTATTTGCGTAACGCAAGTTCCTTGCGCTGACTCTAAGACTAAGTAAAGTACTAACTCATTTTACACCTAATCGGAAGTGCCTAGATAGCTGAGATGATAGTGTAATAGTTACCATGGGGGCAATACGGGTTTGAGACACATCATATCTACGTAAAAAAATATTTTTTAAAGATGTGTATGATAAAGTTGCCTATCAGGACTTGGCAAGACACAGGGCAGGTGAAGTAGAGTTCACCTGTTTCTGTGACCTCAGCATATGAAGAGATAGTGTGGTCAGACCCATGTACAGCCGAAATTGGTGTTTTAAAAGTCAAACATGTCTAAGATGTGACGTCTTTTTGGGAAGATGTGTGACAATGGGAAGGGGAAAGAAAAAATCGTCAAACAAACGTGACGTCATTTATGGATGACCCCGAAACACAGGGTTATTTAAGAATAACGGGTAGTCTAGTCTTTTAAAAAAATCTAGATTAAGGTTAGGGTTTTAACTCCAGATAGTAGTTTAACCTTGGAGTAGGGATAGTTAAGATTGTACACCCCCCCGCTCTGTTCGGGCTTACATATTGTATACACGACCAGGACTTACAATAGCACACTGTATATACGACCAGACATGACATTAATTTAGTCAATATTTTAATACAGTTAATACAGATATGAAGTTAAAGAGGCAGAAGATTTAATTTAAGATGGCAGAGATGACACGTTTTTCCATTTTGAACTTTCAGCACATCAAAACTGTTACACTTGATGTCAATAGCACCAGCACCCAACTGGGAGCTGTAACAAAAATTGAATGTCATTAGCACCAGCACCCAACTAGGAGCTGTAACAAAAATTGAATGTCAATAGCACCAGCACCCAACTGGGAGCTGTAACAAAATTGGATGTCATTAGCACCAGCACCCAACCAAAACCTGATTCTAAATTAAGTGATCTCCCCTTAACTATACTTTTCTATAACTAACATTCAAGTTTTGGATGGCGATTGGGCTCAAGGAAGATAGAAGTTTGACACATAACCGCTAGATTTTTTTTCTTTATTATATAGAGAAAAATTAATTATTTATAAAGGCGAATAACTCTTAGAATTTGATATGTAAAATTTAAAAAATTGTAAAAGTTTTTGAGAAAAAAATTAGTAAAAATTGTGTAAAATACCCCCTCCGGATACCGGAAACTAGTGTTTCATCCAGACTTTTTTCTCTGGGGGGGGGGGGGGGGTCACTTGAAATTTTTTAGGGGGTGGTCAACATTTTCCGGGGAGGGGGGTGGGGGCGGACACTGGTAAAAGTATATATTTTCTATATATATAAATTGTTATATAAATCCATTTTATTGGGCCTAGGCCCCCCCCCCCCATCCCCGAAGAGATGCCTGGAAGAAACTGTCGGAAACTGCTCAAAAGTTTACAAATATCTATGTAAAAGAGCTAATATTTATAAATGTTATTTCATTCATCAAACTGAAACAGCACTGAAGTTATTGGTATTTTAGTAACGTCTTTTATGCTTAGAATTGTGTTGATTGTCAAAATATCATTTTCAAATTAATTAAGAATGTCTGCTTTGTAATAGTAATAGATAATAGAAACATTTTTCGGGCTAATGACTTCCAGGCAAGTGTCCCTTCGTACAAGTCCCTTTGAAAAATGGCCATCGAGTAAACGGCATTCAGACAAGAGTCTTTCCATAAAAAGTTCGACTCCATATTTGTCAATGTTAGACTAACCTTTGTACCAATGGCTGTGATTTGTCCATGTTATTGTTAAACTAACCTTTGGTTGTGATTTGTCCAAGTTAGACTAACCTTTGTACTAATGGATGTGATTAGACTAACCTTTGTACCAATGGCTGTGATTTGACTAACCTGTGTACCAATGGCTGTGATTTGTCCATGTTAGACTAACCTTTGTACCAATGGCTGTGATTTGACTAACCTTTGTACCTATGGCTGTGATTTGTTCATGTTAGACTAACCTTTGTACCAATGGCTGTGATTTGTCCATGTTAGACTAACCTTTGTACCAATGGCTGTAATTAGACCAACCTTTGTACCAATGGCTGTGATTTGACTAACCTTTGTATCAATGGCTGTGATTTGACCAACCTTTGTACCAATGGCTGTGATTAGACCAACCTTTGTACCAATGGCTGTGATTAGACCAACCTTTATACCAATGGCTGTGATTAGACCAACCTTTGTACGTCCATGCGCTGTTCTTGCTTGTTGACCTATAGCGTGTTCCGTACCTCCCACCTAAGGCGCTACCCGTGCCAGAAGAGCCGTCCGAAGAGCTGCCACTGTTAGAGGAGCCACCCCCGCCCCTTGAACCTCCCCCTTTGACCTTAGCTCCCGTGTCTGCAACCATCAAGGTCAGCATGAGCAGCAGCAGCAGTGTAACGTGCGTCATCCTCCGGTCTTCACGGGGCAAGCAAAGAACCGCCTGTGATCCTGGACAACAACACGTGCATTAGGTCATAGGTCGGCGTCAGCTGTTGAGTCTTTCGGACAGCTTTCAATGTAAAACATAGGCGTGTATACAGAGTTATATCGGGCCATGTAAAACATAGGCGTGCATACAGAGTTATATCGGGCCATGTAAAACATAGGCGTGCATACAGAGTTATATCGGGCCATGTAAAACATAGGCGTGTATACAGAGTTATATCGGGCCATGTAAAACATAGGCGTGCATACAGAGTTATATCGGGCCATGTACATCATAGGCGTGTATACAGAGTTATATCGGGCCATGTAAAACATAGGCGTGTATACAGAGTTATATCGGGCCATGTAAAACATAGGCGTGCATACAGAGTTATATTGGGCCATATATAGTTTGGTTTATGAACGTTTTAAGCGTTTGTTTATTTATTTTAAGAAACTGATCGGGGCATTTCCAACATTTTCAGTTAGGTATTTCAACATTGGTTTATAGCTGACCCAAGAGAAATCTGACCAATCACATAGTTAGACTATGTTTCCTATATTGCGCATTAATTAAATTTACAATATATCTCCTCAATGACAATAGCCTGTTGTTTCTACATAGACATCTAACAGTCGATATCATCAACCGAACCTGACAACATCATATTTACTCAGGGTCTGTTTATGTAGGTCTTGCCAATATGTCACTGGCAACTTGATACACTGTACAATAGAGGCGTAGCGATGGGGGGGGGTGGAGGCGGGGGGCGGACATATGTCCCCGGGCGCCGACCTTAGAGGGCGCCAAAATAGGTTGGAAAAAGTAATCGAAAGTTTGAGGGGGGGGATGGGGCAAATCAAAAGTTTGAGGCGAGGGTGCAAATCGAAAGTCTGTCCCCAGGCGCCGGGAAGGGTCGCTACGCCTCTGCTGTACAATTTAGATTTTTTTGAATGTGTGTTATTATTGTTTTACGTTATATATATATATATATATATATATATATATATATATATATATATATATATACATATATATATATATATACATACATACATACACATGTAAGTTTCGACAATAAAATCATCGGTTAGGGTAAAATAAAATACTTACGTACTTAGTGTGTGTACCTAGGCCTGAGAAAAATGTGATTTGAATAAAATGCGCACCTAGAGGCTGTGTCAATAGACGGCACACCACAGCAGGCATTGATCTGACACTCCCAGCTGTTTGATCAGCAGCCAGCAGCGTGGCGCAACCTCGCTAGCACGTCAAGCTGAAGACATCCACACGTCAAGGCTTCAAGTTAGCATTCGTAGTGGTACCCTCTAGACAGCTCTACAATATATGGTACTTTCTAGACAAACACACACACACACATAATACTCATATATATATATATATATATATATATATATATATATATATATATATATATATATATATATATATATATAATACATCTATATATATAATTCTCTTCTTGGAGACGTTAGAAAACAAGTTGTAAGCGCGCCTTGCAGTCCCCTCTCTTCCTCTCTAGGAAGTCTGGTGAGCTGTGGTTCACGCTAAATGTTTACAATCGTAAAGCCAAGTTTAGTGACGGCTATTAGGGGCAGATAATTTAGTTGAAACGCTTTTAAACTTAGGGGAGGTAGCTAAGAGGAGGCTGCTTTTAGGGGGGGGGGGGGTTAGGGGGAAAGGAGGGGGTTATCGTCCTTAACGACTTACTGATAGTGTTTAAAGCAAATATTTTCGGGGGGGGGGGGTGTAGACTTTCTTCTGGGGGGGGGGACGGGACACTGTTAAAAGTATATATTTTCTATATAAATTATGTAAATTTCATTTCGTTCGGGGGGGGGGGGGGGGTAGGGCGGTAGAATTTTTTCGGGGGGGGGGGGGTAAGCTTCCCGAAGAGATGCCTGGAAGAAACTCTGGTCATAGTGCAATACGTCTAAATTAATGATTTTAAAAAAAATATTGAACGTGTTGTAAAACAATTATATTTTTCAAACTTATAGTGATAATTGTCGGCATGTCCATTAAACAAAATAAAAATGTATCACCTGTCACAAAAATTCTAATTGTGTCTGAAAATTATTTACATTTAGTTCTTTACCACTCCTTACATCCCTTGATAAATTAGAAAAACACAATTACTTCCCTTTAGAAAAAAAACATTACAGCAGGGGAAGGGGGGTTTAAACTTTTTATTGAATTGATCAAGTGCAATGTGGTCGGTATTTTAAATACTGCCTTTTATTTATTTTATACTCTGAATGTACTGTCAGAGGTGTAGGGAAGCGAAGGCGGGGGGGGGGGGGGGGTGGTGCGAACCGCACCGGGTGACACCATTTAGGGGGTTGACACCAAGGCAAAAATAGCAAAATATATACATAAAAATGATAATTAAATAATTAAAATTAGAGTGAATTAAATAGTATTTTAAGAGGCAAAGTTGGGGTTCTATAGTCGTTTAGTAAGTTGTATCAGGCGTTTCCGCCGGCGTCTCAGCATGGTGCGATTTGGCGCCCTGAGCTTGACTATGAGCAGTATGCTTTTATGTTTGCATTTAAGTATGTTTATATTTGCGTTTATTTGCATTACTTTGGGTTATTGTTTGCGTTTAGGTTTGCGTTTGTGTTTAAATTTGTATTTGTGTTTGCTTTCTTGTTTGTGTTCTTTGTATTTGGGTTTTTGTTTGCGTTTGGGTTTGTGTTTTGTATTTGTATTTGTTTTCGTTTGATTTTTTGTTTGTGTTTATGTTTTCTTTGAGTTCGTGTTTGTGTTTGTTTTTCGGTTTGTGTTTTCGTTTTTTGTTTTTGTTTGTGTTTTATTTGTGTTTGTGTATTTTTTGGTTTTTTTTGTGTGTGTTTGGTTTTGGTTGGTTGTGGTTAGTGTTAATTTGATGTATTTCCTAAACCCGAACAATGCCGGGTGTATGCTGATTACTAAACAACAAGTCATCGTCCTTCGTACATATATATATATATATATATATATATATATATATATATATATATATATATATATAATATATATATATATATATATATATATATATATATATATATATATATATATATATATATATATATAACCGTCCAGAAAAAATACCCCCTGTACTTGCGAAATGGAGAAAGGTCCCTAGAGTGAATATTACATAACAAACACAATAATCTTGTCTTTTAAAATTTTTATTGATAAAAAATGCAATGGACGCCAGCGAGAAAACTCTCAAAGGTATTCGAGAGGTCCATAAATTCATTTAAAAATCATGCACGGCGTAGTTACAATTAATATGGTTATAAAATCCTGCCTGTCTGGTTTTTTTTTCGGAATTTACTAAAGATTGGATGTATTTGATGTTTTTAATTTTTTCGGTAACTAAATAAAAAAAAGCAGAAACAATATGGTTTTCAAGTGTAATGGCTACATAAACAATGGCATCCTGCTATTTGATAGGCCGCCATAAATTTTATTGTACACATTGTAAGCTAAAAAAAGAAAAAACTAGGTCATGGGGTTTATATTTGCATTGTTATTTAAAAACTCGATCTGCAAAGTTTTGTAAACAAAAAAACTATAAAGTGGGGCTGTCAGAAATCGATCACGGAGTTCCTGTACAGCCAATCAATGTTTGTCTTAAGAAAGTGAAACATCGGGTTATAACTTAGGCTTGATGAAATTTTCAAATAGAAATGTAGCCTTAATTAATTTTAGGCTTAAGTTTTTATTAAAATTTTATCTTTTATTATTTTTACGGTCCTAAATCTAAAAAAACACATTTTTATTCCATGTCAACAACATTACGGAAGGATTTTCGTCAACTCACTGGTGTCCATTATTGTATTATTATTAGCGTCAACTTCAGACGCAGAAAGAAAAGTCCGGACGTCTTTAAACCTGGTTGTCTTGACACAGACTTACAGGTAGGTTACATACAGACATGAAGAAAACAAGCACCACCGCTTGAACATAATGTTCGCTTTAACCAATCGTGGGCCGACAGCCAACATATGTGACCTGTTTACAGATATTCAGCCATAAAACCAGTGACGTCACGCAGCGTGGCACCAGCTGATTGGATAACTTGCAGGATGACAGCAAAATGCTGCCTCACTTGATCCCACCTCTCTGTGCTGTTGTCCACCTCAAACAGCAGGTCAACCAGTCCAGGGAAACTGCTGCCAGCATAGCCATCATTGGAGTTCTCAGCAAAGATAAGGTGCCTGCAAGGGAAACAACATTCACCTGAGGTATGAATATGTTTTTTTTTCTTGAACAAAATAAGACAAACTCTTTGTCAAGGAATATCTTCCAATGTTAATTGAAATGCCCACCCATCACGGAAAGAAATGGTGGCATGAAAGAAAAAAATGGTGGCATCACAGAAAGAAATGTCCACAGTAGAAATGTCCACAATAGAAATGTCCACAATAGAAATGTCCACAATAGAAATGTCCACAATAGAAATGTCCACAGTAGAAATGTCTACAATAGAAATGTCTACAATAGAAATGTCCACAATAGAAATGTCCACAATAGAAATGTCCACAATAGAAATGTCCACAATAGAAATGTCCACAATAGAAATGTCCACAGTAGAAATGTCTACAATAGAAATATCTACAATAGAAATGTCTACAATAGAAATGTCCACAATAGAAATGTCCACAGTAGAAATGTCCACAATAGAAATGTCCACAATAGAAATGTCCACAATAGAAATGTCCACAATAGAAATGTCTACAATAGAAATGTCCACAGTAGAAATGTCCACAATAGAAATGTCCACAATAGAAATGTCCACAATAGAAATGTCTACAATAGAAATGTCTACAATAGAAATGTCTACAATAGAAATGTCCACAATAGAAATGTCCACAATAGAAATGTCCACAATAGAAATGCCCACAATAGAAATGTCCACAATAGAAATGTCCACAATAGAAATGTCCACAATAGAAATGTCTACAATAGAAATGTCTACAATAGAAATGTCTACAATAGAAATGTCCACAACAGAAATGTCCACAGTAGAAATGTCCACAATAGAAATGTCTACAATAGAAATGTCAACAATAGAAATGTCTACAATAGAAATGTCCACAATAGAAATGTCCACAGTAGAAATGTCCACAATAGAAATCTCTACAATAGAAATGTCTACAATAGAAATGTCTACAATAGAAATGTCCACAATAGAAATGTCCACAATAGAAATGTCCACAATAGAAATGTCCACAATAGAAATGTCCACAATAGAAATGTCCACAATAGAAATGTCCACAATAGAAATGTCCACAATAGAAATGTCCACTTACTTCTTATAAGGACGGTTGGGGAGGCCCTCTGGTTCCAGAAATGCCCGCTCTAAAAGCATGATCTGGTCATTGACAGCTCGTACAGCCAGGGGACTGGGGAACAGCAACACGTCAGGTAAGTCGTGCTGTCCAACAGGACGTCAGGTAAGTCGTGCTGTCCAACAGGACGTCAGGTAAGTCGTGTTGTCCAACAGGACGTCAGGTAAGTCGTGTTGTCCAACAGGACGCTAGGTAAGTCGTGTTGTCCAACAGGACGTCAGGTAAGTCGTGCTGTCCAACAGGACGTCAGGTAAGTCGTGCTGTCCAACAGGACGTCAGGTAAGTCGTGCTGTCCAACAGGACGTCAGGTAAGTCGACAGGACGTCAGGTAAGTAGTGTTGTCCAACAGGACGTCAGGTAAGTCGTGTTGTCCAACAGGACGTCACGTAAGTCGTGTTGTCCAACAGGACGTCAGGTAAGTCGACAGGACGTCAGGTAAGTCGTGCTGTCCAACAGGACGTCAGGTAAGTCGTGCTGTCCAACAGGACGTCAGGTAAGTCGACAGGACGTCAGGTAAGTCGTGCTGTCCAACAGGACGTCAGGTAAATCGTGCTGTCCAACAGGACGTCAGGTATGTCGTGTTGTCCAACAGGACGTCAGGTAAGTCGTGCTGTCCAACAGGACGTCAGGAAAGTCGTGCTGTCGAACAGGACGTCAGGTAAGTCGTGCTGTCGAACAGGACGTCAGGTAAGTCGTGCTGTCCAACAGGACGTCATGTAAGTCGTGATGTCCAACAGGACGTCAGGTAAGTTGTGTTGTCCAACAGGACGTCAGGTAAGTCGTGCTGTCCAACAGGACGTCAGGTAAGTCGTGTTGTCCAACAGGACGTCAGGTAAGTCGTGTTGTCCAACAGGACGTCAGGTAAGTCGTGTTGTCCAACAGGACGTCAGGTAAGTCGTGTTGACCAACAGGACGTCAGGTAAGTCGTGTTCACCAACAGGACGTCAGGTAAGTCGTGTTGTCCAACAGGACGTCAGGTAAGTCGTGTTGTCCAACAGGACGTCAGGTAAGTCGACAGGACGTCAGGTAAGTCGTGTTGTCCAACAGGACGTCAGGTAAGTCGTGTTGTCCAACAGGACGTCAGGTTAGTCGACAGGACGTCAGGTAAGTCGTGTTGTCCAACAGGACGTCAGGTAAGTCGTGTTGTCCAACAGGACGTCAGGTAAGTCGTGTTGTCCAACAGGACGTCAGGTAAGTCGACAGGACGTCAGGTAAGTCGTGTTGTCCAACAGGACGTCAGGTAAGTCGTGCTGTCCAACAGGACGTCCGGACGACATTGTGTTGTCAAACATAAATTAATTTATTAATTAAATATTAAACAGCCCGTGACTTACTTCTTCTTGTTTACTTTCTGTAAGTTGTTTTCAAATGTTGATACATCAACGGAGAAGTTCCGTATCACTGTCTCTAGCAGATCTGTAAAGAGAAAACAGTCTCTAACACAAAAAGTAGCAAATAATGTGTATCTGTGACCTCTCAATGTCCACTCACCATAGCTGTGACCTCTCAATGTCCACTCACCATAGCTGTGACCTCTCAATGTCCACTCACCATAGCTGTGACCTCTCAATGTCCACTCACCATAGCTGTGACCTCTCAATGTCCACTCACCATAGCTGTGACCTCTCAATGTCCACTCACCATAGCTGTGACCTCAATGTCCACTCACCATAGCTGTGACCTCAATGTCCACTCACCATAGCTGTGACCTCTCAATGTCCACTCACCATAGTTGTGACCTCTCAATGTCCACTCACCATAGCTGTGACCTCTCAATGTCCACTCACCTTAGCTGTGACCTCTCAATGTCCACTCACCATAGCTGTGACCTCTCAATGTCCACTCACCATAGCTGTGACCTCTCAATGTCCACTCACCATAGCTGTGACCTCTCAATGTCCACTCACCATAGCTGTGACCTCTCAATGTCCACTCACCATAGCTGTGACCTCTCAATGTCCACTCACCATAGCTGTGACCTCTCAATGTCCACTCACCATAGCTGTGACCTCTGAATGTCCACTCACCATAGCTGTGACCTCTGAATGTCCACTCACCATAGCTGTGACCTCTCAATGTCCACTCACCATAGCTGTGACCTCTCAATGTCCACTCACCATAGCTGTGACCTCTCAATGTCCACTCACCATAGCTGTGACCTCTCAATGTCCACTCACCATAGCTGTGACCTCTGAATGTCCACTCACCATAGCTGTGACCTCTCAATGTCCACTCACCATAGCTGTGACCTCTCAATGTCCACTCACCATAGCTGTGACCTCTGAATGTCCACTCACCATAGCTGTGACCTCTCAATGTCCACTCACCATAGCTGTGACCTCTCAATGTCCACTCACCATAGCTGTGACCTCTCAATGTCCACTCACCATAGCTGTGACCTCTCAATGTCCACTCACCATAGCTGTCACCTAGATTTGAACTTAGCAGTTCGCCGTATTCCTTGTGGAGGATGACTCTCAGTTCTTCCAGACCTGTAGCGTAGTTGGTGACGTTCATGGGCAGTATCAGAGGGTCAGCAAGTGACCGGACCATCTCAGCTCCAAACTGGGCCATGGCCGCATGAAACTGGACACAAGAAGAAGAAACTTTGAGTTGAGGCTTTGTAAAAAAAAATGTACGTGTGGCAGATAGCAATAAATGTTAGCATGTTACTGATGTAACAGTGAACGGAAAAAAGTCACAGTATTTGTTAGGAAAAAAGTCAAAGAAAAAATTCAAAAAGGAAAAATTTTATCGGGAAAAAAGTCACAGAAATAAAGTCACAGAAACAAGTCACAAAAATCATTTTAAAAATATTTTGATTTAATTGTTGTTTATTGTTAAATTTTGAGTGCTTATTCATGTGGGTTTTGTTTTATTTTGATAGCATATGTGCAAACTTTAAAGCATTATAGTTTATAATAATGATAAATAAAAATATAATAAAAGATAATTTGCTACGTATTTAGATAAATAGGCGCTATAAAAATTAATTATAATTGTAACTTAGACACATCGTTATGTTTAGCATGTGTTTTTTGTTTTGATCCTAAGTTTTGTTATGTAATGAACGTGATAAATGTGGCAGTAAAGTTGGTTGAACTATTGCTGCGATGAAGGCAGCAAGTCACATTTACTACGATTTTATTTCATCTCACGATTTTTAAAGTTAGCATAAAATAAACCGGTAGTGATCTCCCCTAAACTTTCTCGAATATTCTTATATAAAACAACAGGGGATGGTAACTGGGGATAGAGTTATGATTTTTAATCCATTTTAAACACTTAAACTTTTAAAAATAGAATAGAATCTCATAAAAAAAGAATTGCGCACCAAGCGAACGCCGAATAAAGATGTGTATAATAGTGCGCAATATTATTAGTACTTTATAAATTAACATGCGTTTTTTGAAAAATCGGAAATAGCGTAAATTAGTACTTCCGGTCAACTGAAATTACTCAAAATTTGACAGAAGGTAGACAATTAGCTTTTACTTACATGTGAAATTTCATTTATCTATCTGAAATAGTACTCAAGTTATAGGCTTTTGAAAAATTCAAAGTAGAAAAAGTACAACTTCCGGTTATCGGAAATCGCTCAAAAAGTTGATACGGATCTACGATTTTGATAAAATACTTATATATGAATTTTCATCAACCTAGCTGTAACAGTACTCAAGTTATTGTGTTTACACACAGACAAACAGACAGACAGACACACACACACAGACATACGGACAAGATTGCAAAATTTTGTTTTTCCGTATCAGTGAGGTGTAAAACGTCGAGATTTGCAAAATCTCGATTTTTTTTTGCACGATTACAAGACTTTCTCTATACTTCGTATATACGAGAAAGTAAAAACACACTAAGAAAACCATTAAGTATTATATGTAGGCCTATAACGTAATTAAAACCTACACACTTCATACTAAATATTTAAAAAATAATAATGTTTGTGAAAGGGTGATACATTTTCTTTAATTTTGTTCAATGCACATGCCGTCAATTATAACACCTTCTATATTAATTTTTAAAATCATTAATTTAGACGAAGAGCACTTTAGAGATATAATTTCAACACTATGGCGATCAAGTCTTTTTTTTGCTGAATTCCTCTGTAATCATGGATCGCTGTCCGCGGTAACATACAGAATTCAACTTTATATATTAGATGGTTTGATAGCCTGACAGTGCCCAGGCAACACGCATCAAACCATCAGATGTTGCCCATGTCCCTCTCCCCACAGACGGCCCAAGGGACTGAACGTTCCCAAAACAAAATGTGCCGCAGAAACTGTAGAGAAGAAAACCAAGCTACCCCAGTTGGTAATCTATCGCCTAAGGGGCATCACTCGGTTGATTGAACAATTTTCTCTCCTAGATAGGATGCTGTCCCCGGCTCACAAGCCTCGTCTTGACTTACCTTAAACTCCCGATCAAACTGGTCCTTGACAATTTGGAAGGTTTCATACTCCGTGTGGTAGAGCGCATAGGACGAAACACTGTATCGTTTCTGTGGAGGTTGTACAATGTTACTGTGTACATACTTGATAGTTGTTTTAATAATGTTACTGTGTACTAGATAGTTGGTTTGACAATCTTACTGTGTACTAGGCACTTGTTTGACAGTCTTACTGTGTACTAGATAGTTGGTTTACAACGTTACTGTGTACTAGACACTTGTTTGACAGTCTTACTGTGTACTATAGTTATCCATTCGTGATATTGACAACAGCATATCATTCTATAACATGAACATGTTTAACTTCACTAAAGCAACAAGAGGAGGTACCTGGTCAAAAGTGTAGGTGGCATCAACTGCTGTGATGCCCGCCCTCTGGAGGAGGGGAGCGTAGTCACTATCTGATGCTAGGGAGGACATACTGGGGAAACATTAATTGATAAATCAATAGGGCACTGTTGATACTGGGGCACTATATTAATACATGGGCACAATTGTTGATACTGGGGCACTAGTTTGATATAGGGCAGACAACAGACAGAGAAACACCTACACAGGTTGGCCAGTTGTTTTGTTGTTGTCATCTAGGTCTGGTGTCACGTGTACCCAGGTGTCATATATGCTACGTCTGCCGGCCTTGACCTCATTAGGATTTGGGTTAGGAACCTTTCCATTGGACAATAAACCAACATTCAATTCTACATGTTAGGATGAACATGTTATAATCTGTGTGTATGACATTGGTCGTATGTGTATGACATGGGTTGTATGTGTATGACATTGGTTGTATGTGTATGACATTAGTTGTATGTGTATGACATTGGTTGTATGTGTATGACATTTGTTGTATGTGTATGACACTTGTTGTATGTGTATGACATTGGTTGTATGTGTATGACATTGGTTGTATGTGTATGACATTGGTTGTATGTGTATGACATTGGTTGTATGTGTATGACATTGGTTGTATGTGTATGACATTGGTTGTATGTGTATGACATGATTGTTTGTGTATAACACTGTTGTATGACAATATTGGTATGACTGTGTATGACGTCATACCTTCTTACATGCATCAATGACGACATTTCGCATCAACGGTGTAGCAGACACTTGAACAGTGTCATTACCTGAAACATCACACCACGCAGGTTAAATTGCTTTCATTAATCAAACATCCACCACCCTTGCCACATCCATCACTCAAACCACATCCACCATCATAAACCACACCATCCACCACCCTAACCACATCCACCACCCTAACCACACCATCCATCTCCCTAACCACATCCACCATCCTAACCACATCCACCACCCTAAACCACACCATCCACCATCCTAAACCACACCATCCACCACCATAAAGAGACAAAGGACCTACCATCCACAGCGATGTCAATGTTTACATAAGCCACCGCCCTCTCTCTCAGTGTAGCCACGTATTGCTTAAATCAGGAAAAATTCTTTATGATGAAACATACTTATCGTAACGTAACGTAACGTAACATAACGCAAGATAAACCAACGTAACGTAACGCAAGGTAAACCAACGTAACGTAACGCAAGGTAAACCAACGTAACGTAACGCAAGGTAAACCAACGTAAACCAACGTAACATAACGCAAGGTAAACCAACGTAACGTAACGCAAGGTAAACCAACGTAACGTAACGCAAGGTAAACCAACGTAAACCAACGTAACGTAACGCAAGGTAAACCAACGTAAACCAATGTAACGTAACGCAAAGTAAACCAACGTAAACCAACGTAGCGCAAGGTAAACCAACGTAACGTAACGCAAGGTAAATTAACGTAACGTAACGCAAAGTAAACCAACGTAGCGTAACGCAAGGTAAACCAACGTAACGCAAGGTAAACCAACGTAAACCAACGTAACGTTACGCAAGGTAAACCAACGTAAACCAACGTAACGTAACGCAAAGTAAACCAACGTAAACCAACGTAACGTAAGGTAAACCAACGTAACGTAACGCAAGGTAAACCAACGTAACGTAACGCAATGTAAACCAACGTAACGTAACGCAAGGTAAACCAACGTAACGTAACGCAAGGTAAACCAACGTAACATAACGCAAGGTAAACCAACGTAACGTAACGCAAAGTAAACCAACGTAACGTAACGCAAAGTAAACCAACGTTAACCAACGTAAACCAACGTAACGTAACGCAAGGTAAACCAACGCAACGTAAAGCAAGGTAAACCAACGTAGCGTAACGTAAGGTAAACCAACGTAACGCAAGGTAAACCAACGTAAACCAACGTAATGTAACTGACCTCTACCCATTCTGTGGAACCAATCAGTGCATACTCCTCAGCTCCCCAGGAACAAAACACAATAGATCGTCGTGGTCTCCACTGGCCTGAGGGATGGTAAACAATGTTATCAAATATTTACATATTTTGTTAAAAATATGTACCTAACAGTACCAGCACCTGTTTACCTGACTGTAGCAAACACCTGTTTACTTGACTGTACCAATACATGTTTACCTGACTATACCAATACATGTTTACCTGACTGTACCAATACATGTTTACCTGACTGTACCAATACATGTTTACCTGACTGTACCAATACATGTTTACCTGACTGTACCAATACATGTTTACCTGACTGTACCAATACCTGTTTACCTGACTGTACCAATACCTGTTTACCTGACTGTACCAAACACCTGTTTACCTGACTGTACCAATACCTGTTTACCTAACTGTACCAGCACCTGTTTACCTGACTGTACCAAACACCTGTTTACCTGACTGTACCAGCACCTGTTTACCTGACTGTACCAATACATGTTTACCTGACTGTACCAAACACCTGTTTACCTGACTGTACCAATACCTGTTTACCTGACTGTACCAAACACTTGTTTACCTGACTGTACCAATACCTGTTTACTTAACTGCACCAGCAACTCTTTACCTGACTGTACCAAACACCTGTTTACCTGACTGTACCAAACACCTGTTTACCTGACTGTACCAACACCTGTTTACCTAACTGTACCAAACACCAGTTTACCTGACTGTACCAATACATGTTTACCTGACTGTACCAAACACCAGTTTACCTGACTGTACCAATACATGTTTACCTGACTGTACCAAACACCTGTTTACCTGACTGTACCAGCAACTCTTTACCTAACTGTACCAAACACTTGTTTACCTGACTGTACCAAACACCTGTTTACCTGACTGTACCAATACATGTTTACCTGACTGTACCAAACACCTGTTTACCTGACTGTACCAAACACCTGTTTACCTGACTGTACCAAACACCTGTTTACCTGACTGTACCAGCAACTCTTTACCTAACTGTACCAAACACCTGTTTACCTGACTGTACCAAACACCTGTTTACCTGACTTTACTAGCACCTGTTTACCTAACTGTACCAAACACCTGTTTACCTGACTGTACCAATACATGTTTACCTAACTGTACCAAACACCTGTTTACCTGACTGTACCAAACACCTGTTTACCTGACTGTACCAGCAACTCTTTACCTAACTGTACCAAACACTTGTTTACCTGACTGTACCAAACACCTGTTTACCTGACTGTACCAAACACCTCTTTACCTGACTGTACCAAACACCTGTTTACCTGACTGTACCAAACACCTGTTTACCTGACTTTACTAGCACCTGTTTACCTAACTGTACCAAACACCTGTTTACCTGACTTTACTAGCACCTGTTTACCTAACTGTACCAATACATGTTTACCTAACTGTACCAGCAACTCTTTACCTGACTGTACCAAACACCTGTTTACCTGACTGTACCAAACACCTGTTTACCTGACTGTACCAAACACCTGTTTACCTGACTGTACGAGCTCCCCCATGACCCTGGCCACCTCCAACATAACGGCTGTACCACTGGAGGGGTCAATGGCCCCATAGATCCAGGCGTCACGATGGTTACCAATGAGAACGTAGCGATCTGTAAACAAATCAGATGGTCACTACTTGACCACTATACCAGTTTTAAAACATGCTATATATGGCTGTAAGTATAAACTCAACTTGATGTCATGATAAATTCACCTGGATGTCAGTATAAACTCACCTGGATGGCAGTATAAACTCACCTGGATGTCAGTATAAACTCACCTGGATGTCAGTATAAACTCACCTGGATGTCAGTATAAACTCACCTGTATGTCAGTATAAACTCACTTGGATGTCAGTATAAACTCACCTGGATGGCAGTATAAACTCACCTGGATGTCAGTATAAACTCACCTGGATGTCAGTATAAACTCACCTGGATGGCAGTATAAACTCACCTGGATGTCAGTATAAACTCACCTGGATGTCAGTATAAACTCACCTGGATGTCAGTATAAACTCACCTGGATGTCAGTATAAACTCACCTGGCTCGACGAATCCTCTGATGATACCAAACACATTGTCAGCTTTAGCTCTCTCGTTTTTGGATGTGACATTCAACTCAATTTTCCTGGGATAATAAATAATTCAAATCAATTTTCCTGCGACAATAAATAATTTGAATCAATTTTCCTGTGACAATAAATAAAGAGCTTTACATATTGTTTTTTTTTTATTATTATTGCGAGACATGGACTTTCTCCATCTGTAGTAAAAAAAGGGCTGGTCTTGATGAACTTACCAGCCTGGGTGAATGAAGGTAGGTCCTAGGTGGTAGGTCACGTTCAGACAGACACACACACACACATGAACTTACCAGTCTGGGTGTATGAAGGTAGGTCCTAGGTGGTAGGTCACGTTCAGACAGACACACACACACACATGAACTTACCAGTCTGGGTGTATGAAGGTAGGTCCTAGGTGGTAGGTCACGTTCAGACAGACACACACACACACATGAACTTACCAGTCTGGGTGTATGAAGGTAGGTCCTAGGTGGTAGGTCACGTTCAGACAGACAGACACACACACACACACATGAACTTACCAGCCTGGGTGTATGAAGGTAGGTCCTAGGTGGTAGGTCACGTTCAGACAGCCACACACACACATGAACTTACCAGCCTGGGTGTATGAAGGTAGGTCCTAGGTGGTAGGTCACGTTCGGACAGACACACACACACACACATGAACTTACCAGCCTGGGTGTATGAAGGTAGGTCCTAGGTGGTAGGTCACGTTCAGACAGCCACACACACACATGAACTTACCAGCCTGGGTGTATGAAGGTAGGTCCTAGGTGGTAGGTCACGTTCAGACCACCCTGCCAACTAGATGGTGCTGGGGGTCCCGACATTGACCTGGGGGAGGAGAGGTGAATCAAAATCAGTTGAGACTAGAACAACCGCACGAACACAAACTTGATAGGCTGCCACTATCCCACACATACCTACCACTATACTATACATACCTGCCACTATCCCACACATACCTACCACTATCACACACATACCTGCCACTATCCCACACATACCTGCCACTATCCCACACATACCTGCCACTATCCCACACATACCTGCCACTATCCCACACATACCTGCCACTATCCCACACATACCTGCCACTATTCCACACACAATATCTAACTATCCCACACATACCTGCCACTATTCCACACACAATATCTAACTATCCCACACATACCTGCCATTATCCCACACATACCCGCCACTATCCCACACATACCTGCCACTTATAAATGTTCTAAAATCTTACTTGATTATGTGAATGGCAGCCCCATAGCCGATGGGATGAGAAGGAATTTTGGGCAGTGGAGGTTTGACTTCCTCTTCAGGATAACGATAAGCGAGATCTAAAGGACACGCATGAAGGGTTTAAAGTTTTAGGTTTCAGAATAACGGAAGGCAAGAACTAAAGGACACACATGAAGGGTTTAAAGTTTTAGGTTTCAGAATAATGGAAGGCAAGAACTAAAGGACACTTGAAGGGTTTAAAGTTTTAGGTTTCAGAATAATGGAAGGCGAGACCTAAAGGACACGCATGAATGATTTTCTTGTTATTCACTGTAGCTTTAATTTCACTTTATCTAGTCTTTGATGGCACGCATCCTTTATCTAATGTTTGTTGGATTGCCTTGTATACCTACTGTTTGTTGGATGGCCTTGTATACCTACTGTTTGTTGGATGGCCTTGTATACCTACTGTTTGTTGGATGACCTTGTATACCTACTGTTTGTTGGATGGCCTTGTATACCTACTGTTTGTTGGATGGCCTTGTATACCTACTGTTTGTTGGATGGCCTTGTATACCTACTGTTTGCTGGATGGCCCGGGGTCAGCGGATCCCCGTCCCCCGTGAAGACGGTCCCCCTCTGCGAGCCAGTGGGGGGCAGCCACCAAGTGTCTGGGTAGACCCGTGGGTCACCGCTCTTCATCCCCGTGTAGTCGGCTGGGTCAGAGAACATGATGACGCCAGTAGCGCCATGTTTGTTGGCTATGTCCACCTGTTCAAAAAAATCATATATATATATATATATATATATATATATATATATATATATATATATATATATATATATATATATATAATTATAAATGTTGACGGGCGAATATATTATTTGTATTATTATATTTTTGTGTGCGAATCGGTGCGTGAATGTTCTGCTGTACAGCGGCTGCGGGGTTTCCCTTCCGGCCAGGTATTTACGGCCGACTGACCGCTTGGGTCGAGAATGTATTGTAGGTTGTTTCTGAGGTTTTTTTTTTTTATTTTTTACAATATTGTATTTTTATGTGTGAGATATGAAAGCGGCTGCCGATGAGTTTCTTGTTTCATTTCTTTTTCGTCTAAAACGAGATTGTGGATATCGGCAGATCTTGTAGGCTACACACGTGGTGTGTGTTTTTTTATTGATTCAAAATGTGTTTTTGTACTTTCTGAATCCAGCCAAATGGTTTATTTGGATGTTTCCTAAACTGGTGAGAACGTGTGTGTGTTTTAATAGTATTTTACTTTATTATTTATATGCTTTATTGTTATCGTTAGTTCCCCACGATAACTAAGTTTGGCTAGTTGATTTTCGTGGTTGTCCTAGATAGTAATTGGTACATTTTAGTTCGAGTTTTAGGTTGCTTTAAAATTAATGTGTGATGTTTCTTGCAACGTCATGTTGGGCATTATTTGCTTTGTGTCTGCCTTCATTGGGGCCTTAGCGGGGTGTGTTAACTTAATTGTTACCTATGTGGATGTTGTGTAGGTAGACCAATGGTTTCGGGCTGCTCCTTATGTAGGTGAAGTTGGTTCTACCATGATTTCATTACACGTGATTTTTAATTTGATAGTTAAATTGTATGTACTATAATTATCATCCTATGGTTGGGTACCATGGCGTTCTCGGTAAGACTGTGGTTCGGATTTTTAAAGAATTGATTTTAGTATTTTAAATTTGTAGTAGTAGGGATTAGTATTTTACTCGAAGTTTTAGCTAGTTATCTTTAGTAGTAGTAAGTAGTATTTTCCCACGTTTTCTTTAACTTGCTTTCGCGTCTGTTTGTTTGTTTGTTTGTTTGGTTCTCCAATCAAATCTTGCGATCAAAATTTCGGGCACTTCCCAGTTAGCTAGCGCGCTGAAATTTTCAGGGAAGCTTTGTTTCCGATGACAATAGAATATTCAATTGTTATTATTACTAAATTGATCCATGGAAAATTTGTATTGATCATTTTAGGCCCCTATATATTTGTACAAAAAAGGGACATAACCTAGTAATTGTATTTTGATGAAAACAAGGTTCGGTATTCTCCCTCTTTTGGCTTACTGAGTAGTGGTCACGCGGTGTTTGTGTACAAACAACGGTGAAAAAAAACGGCAACACAGAAAAAAGGTCGATTGGAAAAGGCACGTGTTTTTTACGAGTTGTCTTCGTTTACCCAAAAAAAAACAGTGAATGCGAGAAGATAAAATCGATAGCAAGATTTGAATGCAAACAAACAGACAAAGACTAAAAAGTAGACAATAATTATCATTAAAAAAGTTTTAAAAAACCCACGTTTTCTGATTGAACTAAAAGTAGAAAATAAATGCTATACATCACAATAATGCAAGCAATCACTCTACTATAGCGATGAAAAACGTGGGGCGCCGTGATTTTCTTACAGTTGTTAATACTGTTGACTCTCTACAAGCTCCCTAATAAAACTCAATAGTATTATCTAATCTATAGTAATATAACTTTTACATCTTATATTAACAATGACCGATAAAAAACTTTTACTTTGGCGCCCCACGTTTTTCATCGCTTATAGTAGAGTGATTACTTGCATTATTGTGATGTATAGAATTTATTTTCTACTTTTTAGTTCAATCAGAAAACGTGGGTTTTTAAAAACTTTTTTAATGATAATTATTAAACATGTGTAGGCCAATATATTTATGTATATATTTTCTGTGCAATAAATTCATGTTTCCTTGTTCTTTTCTCTCCCCCACCCTCTCTCAAGAGAGGTTGCTTTGGCAACTAGGCAGGGTGTTTTGTATGTATTGTTTTGGATGTTTTGTTTGTATGGCATGTGTGTTTGGTGCGGATATTTTGTTTGTATGACATGTGTGTTTGGTGCGGATATTTTGTTGGTATGACATGTGTGTTTGGTGCGGATGTTTTTTTTTGTATGACATGTGTGTTTGGTGTAGATGTTTTATTTGTATGGCATGTGTGTTTGGTGCGGATGTTTTGTTTGTATGGCATGTGTGTTTGGTGCGGATGTTTTGTTTGTATGGCATGTGTGTTTGGTGCGGATATTTTGTTTGTATGACATGTGTGTTTGGTGCGGATGTTTTTTTTTGTATGACATGTGTGTTTGGTGTAGATGTTTTATTTGTATGGCATGTGTGTTTGGTGCGGATGTTTTGTTTGTATGGCATGTGTGTTTGGTGCGGATGTTTTGTTTGTATGGCATGTGTGTTTGGTGCGGATGTTTTGTTTGTATGGCATGTGTGTTTGGTGCGGATGTTTTGTTTGTATGGCATGTGTGTTTGGTGCGGATGTTTTGTTTGTATGGCATGTGTGTTTGGTGCGGATGTTTTGTTTGTATGGCATGTGTGTTTGATGCGGATGTTTTGTTTGTATGACATGTGTGTTTGATGCGGATGTTTTGTTTGTATGACATGTGTGTTTGGTGCGGATGTTTTACAGCTTTTCGATTGCCGTGGGGGATGAGGAAGTTTGTCGTTCAGAGACCTAGACTATCCGAGGCATCGAAAGTTGTGTTCTTGAGTTCTGTCCGATTGTTTGGTTAGATGTTTGTATAGTATATTTTGTTTAGTCTTTATTCACTCCTTGAGTCTTTTGTTGAATTAACTTTTTTTTTTACATTTTGTTCCATTCTTTTACTTTAATAAATTTTTATAAACTCTTAGATTTTTGTTTTATTTTAGTTTACACTAAGGTTAAGATTTTAACCAGTCTGGGTTCAGCCGCACTTGCACTGACTGGATTATTTATATATAGGGACGTAGATATAGTTGCTACTATTAAGGACCATGAAGAGACCGACTGACCTTGTCGCCACGATAGATCATCCCATACTTGACCAAGACAAGGTTTCCGGTCACCGTGACATTGTGCTCCCTCAGGACCTGGTAATCTTCGTCTCGTCCGTACCCAGCAAACACGATGTTACCCTGGGGATGACAAACACGATGTTACCCTGGGGATGGGAAACACGATGTTACCCTGGGGATAACAAACACGATGTTACCCTGGGGATGACAAACACGATGTTACCCTGGGGATGACAAACACGATGTTACCCTGGGGATGACAAACACGATGTTACCCAGGGGATGACAAACACGATGTTACCCTGGGGATGACAAACACGATGTTACCCTGGGGATGGGAAACACGATGTTACCCTGGGGATGGGAAACACGATGTTACCCTGGGGATGACAAACACGATGTTACCCTGGGGATGACAAACACGATGTTACCCTGGGGATGACAAACACGATGTTACCCTGGGGATGACAAACACGATGTTACCCTGGGGATGACAAACACGATGTTACCCTGGGGATGGGAAACACGATGTTACCCTGGGGATGACAAACACGATGTTACCCTGGGGATGACAAACACGATGTTACCCTGGGGATGGGAAACACGATGTTACCCTGGGGATGACAAACACGATGTTACCCTGGGGATGACAAATACGATGTTACCCTGGGGATGACAAACACGATGTTACCCTGGGGATGACAAACACGATGTTACCCTGGGGATGACAAACACGATGTTACCCTGGGGATGACAAACACGATGTTACCCTGGGGATGACAAACACGATGTTACCCTGGGGATGACAAACACGATGTTACCCTGGGGATGACAAACACGATGTTACCCTGGGGATGACAAACACGATGTTACCCTGGGGATGACAAACACCATGTTACCCTGGGGATGAATAAACTTTTGGTAGAAAGGATTTCGATTTGTTTAGAAACATATCAAAAAGGAACATTTTGCAGATACAATTTATTTGCTTTAGCAGAAGACTATTTTTGATATCTATAATAGATATCAAGGATCTACTTTAATCTACAACAACAAACACCAACTTACACCAACCTACACCAACCTGCACCAACCTGCACTAGGCTACTAGGCGAGTACGCATGAAATGGCGGAACGACATCCCGAAGAGCCGATATGTCGCTGTCGTCGCTTTTGGCGTCGTAGATGATGTGGTTGCTAGCGTTGATCAGCCGAACAGAGTTGGGGGTCTGCAAGTCTGGGTAGGACAACAGAACATCGTAGGGCGTGGTCTGGACACCCAGACCGGCACTTCGAAATCTGGACTTCAACAGCTCAACCAGCTCCATGTCGTTTTCTCTGCCAGCAATGTGAGGTTTCTGTGACAACAGTCTGAAAGTTGAAACAGCCAACCATTTTTATGTAAGGGTTCTTGGACAACAGTCTGAAAGTTGAAACAGCCAACCATTTTTATGTGAGGTTTCTGGGACAACAGTCTGAAAGTTGAAACAGCCAACCATTTTTATGTGAGGTTTCTGGGACAACAGTCTGAAAGTTGAAACAGCCAACCATTTTTATGTGAGGGTTCTGTGACAACAGTCTGAAAGTTGAAACAGTCAACCATTTTTATGTGAGGGTTCTGTGACAATAGTCTGAAAGTTGAAACAGCCAACCATTTTTATGTGAGGGTTCTGTGACAACAGTCTGAAAGTTGAAACAGTCAACCATTTTTATGTGAGGTCTTTTAGGACAACAGTCTGAAAGTTGAAACAGCCAACCATTTTTAAGTGAGGGTTCTGTGACAACAGTCTGAAAGTTGAAACAGCCAACCATTTTTATGTGAGGTCTTTTAGGACAACAGTCTGAAAGTTGAAACAGCCAAATTTTTTTATGTGAGGGTTCTGTGACAACAGTCTGAAAGTTGAAACAGCCAACCATTTTTATGTGAGGTTTTTTAGGACAACAGTCTGAAAGTTGAAACAGCCAATCATTTTTATGTGAGGGTTCTGGGACAACAGTCTGAAAGTTGAAACAGCCAACCATTTTTATGTGAGGGTTCTGGGACAACAGTCTGAAAGTTGAAACAGCCAACCATGAGGTTGTGAGATGCGTTATCAGCGTTATGCAAAAAGTGAAGCGTCATCAGTGCTTTGTACAAATGTAATGAATGATGCGTCATAATTGCTATGTAGGCCTACCAATGAAATGAAGCGTCACCAGTGCTGTGTAAAAATGAATAAAGCGTCAGCAGTACATACCTCAAATTTTCCTCAATCCTCGAGGCTTGGATGCCGTCTATGATTTTCTGAGCGATGGCCGGGTCGGCGTCAGAGACCAGACCAGCTGGGACGCCGGACAGGTACAGACCGTCCTGCTCCTGGCCGATGGCGAATGTCCCCACCAGCAGACCGATGGCCAGTCCAAGAGCCAGGGCCGCCACAAGGATGACAATCTGGACCACTCTCCGGCTCCTCATTGGCTGTTTGAAGAGGGCGTCAGATGAGGAGTCGAGCTCCACGCCACTCATCTTTACCACACAAGAAGTCTGCCACTAAGATGTATTTGGTGCCACCACACAAGTCTAAGATGTATATGGCGACCAGATAGCTCACGCAGGCATCATATGGGCCTGATTTATCGATATTGGAGTTAAACGTTGCTTCGTCCTAGGTCCATACAAGTATGTCGGTATTTGTCATAATATGTAAATGATTAAGTGAAAGTAAGTCAAACTTAAGAACAAAAAATTAATAAAAACAAAACAACAACACTAGATTAGTTTACTTTGAAGCAATCTTTATTTTCAGCTATAACCCCAACAAATATTTCAAACACTAGTTTAGTTTACTTTGAAGCAATATTTATTTTCAGCTATAACCCCAAAAAATATTTCAAAGAAGAGCACAGAAATGAATTTTTTTATTTTTACCAAACAGCACTATTAAGTCACACAGAGGTCAAAATAGTACAACTATGTACTACGTTTAGCACTAATGTGTTGATTTGTACAGTTATTAGTTTTTCTATTAAATCAGTCCTCTACGCTTTTAATTGCTGTGAAATTAATTATATCCACTCAAAATACTTAAGGCTCTAGAAAACCGTTTAGGGAATGTAAACACTTGCTTGTTCTCTAACCCACCAAGAATTTCTCGCTTAGAGTTTGCCGCAGCGATTGATGTAGGGTCAGGCTACTGAAAATATACTGCTCTATGTCAAAAACTAAAAGTTGAGCAATGATTTTACTTATATCAATACAGTAGGACGGTGCTTACAAACTTTTTACCTTTGTCTTCTACTGCTCTATCTCGTCTACGGTCAGTACTATGACGGGGTTAAAGGTCGAGCTGTTGCTTCCTTCTCTACTAGTCCCTGTACCAAACTCGTGACTTTCGGTTAGCTAGCACTTGGTCTAAATTCTTACATTTTGTGGTGTTCTGCTATAAAGCTAACCTTTGTGTTCTATTGATAAACTTACTTGTATGCTCTATAGACGCAAGTATACAGCGCTTGGCTTTCCAGCAGGTCCGATTGTCACGTCTAACACTTCTTGTATTAGCCGCTCTCATACGTCCTCTAATCATAAATATTGACTAGACCGTAAACTTGTCAAAACCGTTTGCAAAACGATAAGCAGAATTATTTCAAGAAGCAACATATTATTGAGCTTTCATAGGCGGTGTTGTGTGTGAATCCTCCATTTCTTTAGGGTGGTGTTGTATCAGAGGCGTAGCGCCCGGGGCGAACAAATAATTTTGCTTCACCCCACCCGTTTCAGAGTTGTAACGTAGTTCAAGACCCGATGACAATGCAATCTGACATCAAATTTGACTTAATTGTATGACTAATTTATTTTTATATGAATTAATTAAAATTTTCTGAAATTAATAGGGTGACCTACAACTATTTCGCTCTATTGTCCGCACATTATTATGCTCATTTGGTGCGCAATAGTTTTTAGTCATGAAAAGCTATCCATTCTTCTCATATATATAAAGATGAAATGGACTCTGTATGTATGTAAAATTAAAAAAAACTCGACTTCCTTTTCGTTTTGTAATATTTTTAAAGTATACTTAATATTAAATTGATGATTTAAAAAAAACTCAATATTGATCATTTTCGAAGTAAGTTTTCATTTTACAATTTATCATTTTAATTTACGAAATTTGCAATGAACAAATTTAAACTAAATATATTACCCTTTACAAAAATATCAATTTTATTTGAAAAAAAGTTTAAAAGCCGTTCCTTAAAGTCCTATATGTTTACATTTATGTTTTCATTTGCGTTATTTTTGCGTACTTGTTTACGTTTTAGCGTTTGGGTTTGCGTTTGTTTTTGTTTTCGCGTTTGTGTTTCCGTTATGTTTGAGTTTGTACATTTTGCTTAATAAACACAGGTCACCGTCCTTTAGAGATACGTTTTTTACAGAGGCCAGTGCAGGACCTGGCCCGGACGTCTAGTATTCAACTATAACTCAAAGTCTTTACACGTGTGTATTTTTGTTTTTTGTTTTGTTATTTGTTGATCTGTTCTGCTAGATGAGAGCATCTGCCCAGTGTGTAGAACTGAAAAATACGTATTTATATAGAGAATAATGTTCTTTTTCCCTAAAATGTTATACACAAATTTATTTAAAGACGATAATTAATTTATTAATATATTCATTTGTAGAATCATCCCTTTAATTATAGAAATTCAGAAGAAATACTTTTCATAGTGGACCATAGTGACGTCACTTGAAACGAATTAGAATATCAAAATGAAATGCCGCTAAATTACACATAATAATGACGTCATTGATTCTACAGTAAAATTATAATTTAAAATCTAATGCCGAAAACAATACACAATAATAATGACGTTATCGATTCTTGGTAATATAGACACTAACATTACCGCCTGATTTATTTGTACAATTTAAAAAAATGGTCTGCATGAAGAGTTTCTTTCCAAATCTTTATTTACTTGTTTTCACATAGGTAGGTCAAACCAAAAATAATTAGTTAAAAAGAAAAACAAGTATGAAAACATAGCAAATAAAGAGTTTTTTTGTCAAACTATTTTAGCCCTTAAATAATTGATATATTAATCTTTTTTACAAGCTTTTATTTAACTCACTTCCTCGTCACGCGTCATCACGTTCACTAGGCGCGCAATGACTTTTAGTCATGTAAAGCTAGAGTAAATAAAACTTATTTTTGTGTATATATTTTGACCAAATGATATGTGCCTAGCTGGCCGAGATGATAGTGATATAGTTTAATTTTCCCCCATTTTCCCTAATTCATTATTATTATTATTCATATGAGAAAACATTATAAATCGATGTTTTTAAAAGACACAAATATGTTTTCTGGGGCGTGACGTCTTTTTTAATGTGGGGGTTGGGCTTTTGTGACGGTATGTGACAGTGGGTGGCGGGTAGGGAAAGATAAAATCGTCTAACAAAAATGATTTAATTTATGGATGACCTCCGAAACCCACAGTTATCAAAGGAGAACGGGTAGTCTAGTTGTATTATACATTTTAAATTTCTGAAAAAAAAAGCATAAAAACATTTAATAACAATGTAATAATGCACTAAAAATAAACCGGGAGTGATCTCTTTCTCGAATATTCTAATATAACACTACGGGGGATGGCAACTCAGGACATAGACAATATTTTAAATCCATTTTTAATTACTTAAACTTTTTAAAATAGAATAAAATCTCAAAAAAAAGAAAAGAATTGCGCACCAAGTGAACGCCAAATAAAATGTTCATAATAGAGCGGGATATTATTAGTACTTTATAAATTCACATGAGGTTTTTGAGACATCGGAAATAGCGAAAATTACTACTTCCGGTCAACGGAAATTACTCAAAATTTGAAAAAAGGCAGAGAATTAGATCTTTTACTTACATGTGAATTTTCACTTATCTGTCTGAAACAGTACTCAAGTTATAGGCTTTTGAAAAATTCAAAGTAGAAAAAGTTCCACTTCCGGTTATCGGAAATCGCTCAAAAGTTGATACGAATCTACGATTTTGATATAATAATTATATATGAAATTTCATCAACCTAGCTGTAATGGTACTCAAGTTATCGTGTTTACACACATACACAGACACACATACACACAGACATACCGACAAGATTGCACTACTATGTTTTTCCGACTCAGGGAGCCATAAAACGTCGAGATTTGTAAAAATCTCGATTTTCTTTTGCACGATTACAAGACTTTCTCTATACCTCGTATATACGAGAAAGTAATAAATGATTTTTAAAAATCTATATATATAATTCTCTTCTTGGAAACGTTAGAAAACAAGCTGTAAGCGCGCCTTGCAGTCCCCTCTCTTCCTCTCTAGGAAGTCTGGTGAGCTGTGGTTCACGCTAAATGTTTACAATCGTAGAGCCGGGTTTAGTGACGGCTATTAGGGGCAGATAATTTAGTTTGAAACGATTTTAAACTTAGGGGAGGTAGCTAAAAGGCTGCTTTCACGGGGGGAAGGGGGGAGGGCTTAGGGGTTGGGTGAAAGGACGGGGGGTATCGTCCTTAACGACTTACTGATAGTGTTTTCAAGCAAATATTTCAGTGTCAGCATTTCGACTGTCGAATTAACAAATTATGAATTACTGAAAAGTAGAAAAAAAACAACTATATAATAATATATATATATATATATATATATATATATATATATATATATATATATATATATATATATATATATAATACGTATATAATAATACACTACTATTTAAATAGTAGTGTATTATTTTTTTAGTGCATTATTACATTTTGCAATTAAATGTTATATATACATATATATATATATATATATATATATATATATATATATATATATATATATATATATATATATATATATATATATATATATATATATATATATATATATATATATATATATATATATACATAACTAGTCGTCCCTCTCGCCAAACCCACAGCAAATCGCCCCCCTCCCCTAGCCCACATCAAGTCGCCCTCCACCCTTAGCCCACAGCTATGTTAGTTTTGAAAAAAAAAATTGGGAATAAAAGAGAAAAAAAAAACCAAAATTCTATTAACAAATAAGCTACCAACTACCACTCTCAGACCCGAACAACATATAGGCTACCAACTAGCACCCTGTCCCATAGTTAAACGATCTATGTCTCTTATCAGCTGTATGGAACTATAAATTTAAAGAAAGGCAACAGTCAAAGATGGCAGCCACATAAATTAATGTAGATAATAGCTAACAATGTTAAAAAGGACAATCTATAGTTCAGATGTTCTAGGTACAACCAAATGACTACAGTAATGATATAATTCAGATGTTCTAGATGCAACCAAATGACTACAGTAGTGATGTTGTTCAGATGTTTTAGATACAACCACAATGACTACAGTAGTGATGTAGTTCAGATGTTCTAGATACAACCAAACGGTTCATCACTTTTATTTGCCCACATACAAACTATTTTGAATAGTCCAAGATGTATTTGTATTACGCCCCCCCCCACACCATCTCTCTGAAGTTCGGTCATGTTTGTACAGGAGGATAGGCCTATACCTTATGCTTTATGGGGGGGGGGGGGGGGGGGGGCGAGGTTGAGGATAATCGTCATTCAGCAGATTGATAGCGTCTAGCTAGTTATCTCGCCTTCTGTTATTGAATATAGCACTCTATCAAGTGATTTAATTTTGTTATCTCCTCTTAGTTTCGTAACAGTTAAATTAATCTTTAATGACTAATCAAACATCTAATTTAATTTAAAAATAGATAGACTTGTATTGCCATCGAAGTGGAACATATATGGAAAGTTTGAATACAATGGGTCAAACAAGTGGGTCAACATTGGGTTACAAGATTTGCCACAAACCCACAAACAAACAAACAAAGAAACAAAAAATAAAGTTTGTAAAAAATTGAATGTATTGGAGTGTGTGATTTCTGCTTGAATGACAAGATTTGTAGTGCCTGCAGACTTGTCAGGGCAGGCGTCCCATCGTTTTAGTACAAACTTTTGGTAAAGTTTTATTAGCATGGTGCAGGCCACATCAACATTTCACTACAAACCCGACAGCCACCCTAAGTAAGCTGATTACAGATATTCATCCATAAAGCCAGTGACGTCACGCAGCGTGGCACCAGCTGATTGGATAACTTGCAAGATGACAGCAAAATGCTGCCTCACTTGATCCCACCTCTCTGTGCTGTTGTTCACCTCAAACAGCAGGTCAACCAGTCCAGGGAAACTGCTGCCAGCATACGCATCATTTGAGTTCTCAGCAAAAATAAGGTGCCTGAAAAGGGTCAACAGCTAATGCTTTACTCAGAAGTAAAAGTATAGGCTACATTCATTTATGTTGAAATAGAAATTTTAAGTTGATATTCTCAGATTTCTATCTTTAGAGGAAACACGCATCAGATACTCAGCCATATTATTAGATGCGTCTATTCAGACAAGGGGTCCGTAATGTCATGCCCACAATTCAATCCATGGACAGTAAGAGCAAAGCATTTTTTAATGTGAAAATAATCTGTAATATTATTTAGATCTAATATGTCGTTAGATTTAACATAAACACTAACCGTAATGCACTACCTTAACCCGTAATACATTAAAATATTTCAACAGCCTATATTAACCAACTAAAAGAGAAAAAAAACCTAAACGAAAGAGAATACACACACTCGTCTTAGATAGCGCCCTGAACCGCAACCCTTTTACCACCAGTACGTTTGATTTAGTATTCAAAAGTAGAAGAGCTATTTCGATAAGATGATGAAATATCCACACACGCCAAAGACAATAGTAAATACCATAATACGATTGGTTGGTGATCGGGTTCGAATAGCCACTTAGTATTATATTACACGTAGATCCACTGATTTAGAATCACTAAATGCCCACCTATCACGGAAAGAAATGGTGGCATGACAGAAAGAAATGGTGGCATGACAGAAAGAAATGGTGCCATCACAGAAAGAAATGTCCACAATAGAAATGTCCACAATAGAAATGTCCACAATAGAAATGTCCACAATAGAAATGTCCACAATAGAAATGTTCACAATAGAAATGTCTACAATAGAAATGTCTACAATAGAAATGTCCACAATAGAAATGTCCACAATAGAAATGTCCACAATAGAAATGTCCACAATAGAAATGTTCACAATAGAAATGTCCACAATAGAAATGTCCACAATAGAAATGTCCACAATAAAAATGTCCACAATAGAAATGTCCACAATAGAAATGTCCACAATAGAAATATCCACAATAGAAATGTCCACAATAGAAATGTCCACTTACTTCTTATAAGGACGGTTGGGGAGGCCCTCTGGTTCCAGAAATGCCCGCTCTAAAAGCATGATCTGGTCATTGACAGCTCGTACAGCCAGGGGACTGGGGAACAGCAACACGTCAGGTAAGTCGTGCTGTCCAACAGGACGTCAGGTAAGTCGTGTTGTCCAACAGGACGTCAGGTAAGTCGTGTTGTCCAACAGGACGTCAGGTAAGTCGTGTTGTCCAACAGGACGTCAAGTAAGTCGTGCTGTCCAACAGGACGTCAGGTAAGTCGTGCTGTCCAACAGGACGTCAGGTAGGTCGTATTGTCCAACAGGACGTCAGGTAAGTCGTGTTGTCCAACAGGACGTCAAGTAAGTCGTGTTGTCCAACAGGACGTCAGGTAAGTCGTGTTGTCCAACAGGACGTCAGGTAAGTCGTGCTGTCCAACAGAACGTCAGGTAAGTCGTGTTGTCCAACAGGACGTCAGGTAAGTCGACAGGACGTCAGGTAAGTCGTGCTGTCCAACAGGACGTCAGGTAAGTCGTGTTGTCCAACAGGACGTCAGGTAAGTCGTGTTGTCCAACAGGACGTCAGGTAAGTCGTGCTGTCCAACAGGACGTCAGGTAAGTCGTGTTGTCCAACAGGACGTCAGGTAAGTCGTGCTGTCCAACAGGACGTCAGGTAAGTCGTGTTGTCCAACAGGACGTCAGGTAAGTCGTGTTGTCCAACAGGACGTCAGGTAAGTCGACAGGACGTCAGGTAAGTCGTGTTGTCCAACAGGACGTCAGGTAAGTCGTGTTGTCCAACAGGAGGTCAGGTAAGTCGTGCTGTCCAACAGGACGTCAGGTAAGTCGTGTTGTCCAACAGGACGTCAGGTAAGTCGTGTTGTCCAACAGGACGTCAGGTAAGTCGTGTTGTCCAACAGGACGTCAGGTAAGTCGACAGGACGTCAGGTAAGTCGTGTTGTCCAACAGGACGTCAGGTAAGTCGTATTGTCCAACAGGACGTCAGGTAAGTCGTGTTGTCCAACAGGACGTCAGGTAAGTCGTGTTGTCCAACAGGACGTCAGGTAAGTCGTGTTGTCCGACAGGACGTCAGGTAAGTCGTTTTATCCAACAGGACGTCAGGTAAGTCAACAGGACGTCAGGTAAGTCGACAAGACGTCAGGTAAGTTGTGTTGTCCAACAGGACGTCAGGTAAGTCGTGTTGTCCGACAGGACGTCAGGTAAGTCAACAGGACGTCAGGTAAGTCGTGTTGTCCAACAGGACGTCAGGTAAGTCGTGTTGTCCAACAGGACGTCAGGTAAGTCGTGTTGTCCAACAGGACGTCAGGTAGGTCGTGTTGTCCAACAGGACGTCAGGTAAGTCGTGTTGTCCAACAGGACGTCAGGTAAGTCGTGTTGTCCAACAGGACGTCAGGTAAGTCGTGTTGTCCAACAGGACGTCAGGTAAGTCGTGTTGTCCAACAGGACGTCAGGTAAATCGTGTTGTCCAACAGGACGTCAGGTATGTCGTGTTGACCAACAGGACGTCCGGACGACATCCTGTTGTCATACATAAATTAATTTATTATTTAAATATTAAACAGCACGTGACTTACTTCTTCTTGTTTACTTTCTGTAAGTTGTTTTCAAATGTTGATACATCAACGGAGAAGTTCCGTATCACTGTCTCTAGCAGATCTGTAAAAAGAAAACAGTCTCTAGCACAAAAAGTAGCAAAGAATGTGTAGCTGTGACCTCTCAACGTCCACTCACCATAGCTGTGACCTCTCAATGTCCACTCACCATAGCTGTGACCTCTGAATGTCCACTCACCATAGCTGTGACCTCTCAATGTCCACTCACCATAGCTGTGACCTCTCAATGTCCACTCACCATAGCTGTGACCTCTCAATGTCCACTAACCATAGCTGTGACCTCTCAATGTCCACTCACCATAGCTGTGACCTCTCAATGTCCACTCACCATAGCTGTGACCTCTCAATGTCCACTCACCATAGCTGTGACCTCTCAATGTCCACTCACCATAGCTGTGACCTCTCAATGTCCACTCACCATAGCTGTGACCTCTGAATGTCCACTCACCATAGCTGTGACCTCTCAATGTCCACTCACCATAGCTGTGACCTCTCAATGTCCACTCACCATAGCTGTGACCTCTCAATGTCCACTCACCATAGCTGTGACCTCTCAATGTCCACTCACCATAGCTGTGACCTCTCAATGTCCACTCACCATAGCTGTCTCCTAGATTTGAACTTAGCAGTTCGCCGTATTCCTTGTGGAGGATGACTCTCAGTTCTTCCAGACCTGTAGCGTAGTTGGTGACGTTCATGGGCAGTATCAGAGGGTCAGCAAGTGACCGGACCATCTCAGCTCCAAACTGGGCCATGGCCGCATGAAACTGGACAAAAAAAGAAGAAACTTTGAGTTGAGGCTTTGTAAAACAAAATGTACGTGTGGCAAATAGCAACAAATGTTAACCATGATGTAACAGACAAATAGAATTTGATTGGCGCCCTTCCCTCCCCCATATATATATATATATATATATATATATATATATATATATATATATATATATATATATATATATATATATATATATGTATATATATATATGTATATATATAATATATATATATATATATATATATATATATATATTATATATATATATATATATATATATATATATATATATATATATATATATATATATATATATATATATATATATATATATATATATATATGTATATGTAAATATATAAATATAAATATATATATATATATATATATATATATAAATATAAATATAAATATATATATATATATATATATATATATATATATATATATATATATATATACGCCGTCCAGACCAGGCTTAGCACTGGCCACTGTAAAAAACCTAAACATAAAGGACCATAACTTGTGAGTTTAAGCAGCATATACCCGGCATTACCTGGATTTAGGAAATATATAACTTTTTGAATTAACCATATGCACAAACAAACCCATAAGAAAAAACGCAAATAAAACACAAACGCAAACACAATTACAAGCACAAATGAAAACACCAGCACACAAAACACAAACGCAAACCCAAACACAAAGAAAACACAAAAGCGAAAATAAAAAAAATGTGAAAGCAAAATCTGATTAGAAATCTCGTTAGCTAGGGAGAGATTTAGATTTTCAAAATAAATTAATTGTTGGCAGAACAAGATCTTTAACATAATTTTAAAGTAATATTGTAATACACACGCACTCTCTCTCTCTCTCACACACACACACACACACACACACACATATATATAATATGGAAGGTCGAAAAAGATGCGATGGGGGGGGGGGGGCGTTTTCTTAAGTTTTGCCTAGGGCGTTAAATAACATGGCGCCGGCATGGACAGTTTAGAAGCCACTTCTAAATGTCCCCTATGTTTACCTTTATCTTTCGGTTTTCGGACAAGCTGGGTTTTTATAGTCGTTCACTAAATTGAATAGGCGCGTCCACCGGCGCCCGGACAGGGTTCAATTTTGCGCGATGGGCTATCCTGTGAGCGCTATCGGTTTATGTTTGTGTTTGGTTTGCGCTGTGTTTGTGTTTTCTTTTGTGTTTCTGTGTTGCGTTTTTTGTTTGTGTATGTGTTTTTTTGCGTTTGTGATTGCATTATTGTGTTTGTGTTTTCTTTTGTGTAAGTGTTTGCGCTGTGCTTGTGTTTTCTTTTGTGTTTGTGTTTAGTTTTATTTTGTTCCATAGTGGTACATTTAAATAGATTCCCCGTGCACAGGTATGCAGCTAGTATATATATATATATATATATATATATATGAAACCATCAGATGTTGCCCATGTCTCTCTCCCCACAGACGGCCCAAGGGACTGGACGTTCCCAAAACAAGTTGTGCCGCAGAAACAATAGAGAAGAAAACCAAGCTACCCCAGATGGTAATCTATCCCTAAGGGGCATCACTCGGAGTGAACAATTTTCTCTCCAAAATAGGATGCTGTCCCCGGCTCACAAGCCTCGTCTTGACTTACCTTAAACTCCCGATCAAACTGGTCCTTGACAATTTGGAAGGTTTCATACTCCGTGTGGTAGAGTGCATAGGACGAAACACTATATCGTTTCTGTGGAGGTTGTACAATGTTACTGTGTACGTGATATTTTGTTTTAATAATGTTACTGTGTACTAGATAGTTGGTTTACAACGTTACTGTGTACTAGACAATAATAAGACAAAGACAACTTGTCAGACATGTCAAAACTCTTGCAACAAGATCCACTTGTCAACAAAACCTCACAACTGAAGACAAAGTACCTTGTCAAAAGTGTAAGTGGCATCAGCTGCTGTGATGCCCGCCCTCTGGAGGAGGGGAGCGAAGTCACTTCCTGATGCTAGGGAGGACATACTGGGGAGACATTGTTAAATACCTACACTCAATAAAGTAGCAGACGTCACATTGAAACATTCAATACCTACACTCAATAAAGTAGCAGACGTCACATTGAAACATTCAATACCTACACTCAATAAAGAAGCAGACGTCACATTTAAGATTCAATACCTACACTCAATAAAGTAGCAGACATTGAAACATTCAATACCTACACTCAATAAAGTAGCAGACAATAGTCACATTGAAACATTCAATACCTACACTCAATAAAGTAGCAGACAATAGTCACATTGAAACATTCAATACCTACACTCAATAAAGTAGCAGACAATAGTCACATTGAAACATTCAATATCTACACTCAATAAATCTGTTGACATCAGTATAGACAACAGCTTCAGATAACAACTTTCATAACCAGACAACTAACCTGTAGACACCAGACAACCAACCTGCAGACAACCAACCTGCAGACAACCAACCTGCAGACACCAGATAACCAACCTGCAGACACCAGACAACCAACCTACAGACAAACAACCTGCAGACACCAGACAACCAACCTGCAGACAACCAACCTGCAGACAACCAGACAACCAACCTGCAGACACCAGACAACCAACCTACAGACAACCAACCTTCAGACACCAGACAACCAACCTGCAGACACCAGACAACCAACCTGCAGACACCAGACAACCAACCTGCAGACAACCAGACAACCAACCTGCAGACAACCAGACAACCAACCTTCAGACACCAGACAACCAACCTTCAGACACCAGACAACCAACCTTCAGACACCAGACAACCAACCTGCAGACAACCAACCTGCAGACACCAGACAACCAACCTGCAGACACCAGACAACCAACCTGCAGACACCAGACAACCAACCTGCAGACACCAGACAACCAACCTACAGACAACCAACCTGCAGACACCAGACAACCAACCTGCAGACACCAGACAACCAACCGGCAGACACCAGACAACCAACCTTCAGACACCAGACAACCAACCTTCAGACACCAGACAACCAACCTGCAGACACCAGACAACCAACCTGCAGACACCAGACAACCAACCTACAGACAACCAACCTGCAGACACCAGACAACCAACCTTCAGACACCAGACAACCAACCTGCAGACACCAGACAACCAACCTGCAGACAACCAACCTGCAGACACCAGACAATCAACCTGCAGACAACCAACCTGCAGACACCAGACAACCAACCTTCAGACACCAGACAACCAACCTTCAGACACCAGACAACCAACCTGCAGACAACCAACCTTCAGACACCAGACAACCAACCTGCAGACACCAGACAACCAACCTGCAGACAACCAGACAACCAACCTGCAGACAACCAGACAACCAACCTTCAGACACCAGACAACCAACCTTCAGACACCAGACAACCAACCTTCAGACACCAGACAACCAACCTGCAGACAACCAACCTGCAGACACCAGACAACCAACCTGCAGACACCAGACAACCAACCTGCAGACACCAGACAACCAACCTGCAGACACCAGACAACCAACCTACAGACAACCAACCTGCAGACACCAGACAACCAACCTGCAGACACCAGACAACCAACCTATAGACAACCAACCTGCAGACACCAGACAACCAACCTTCAGACACCAGACAACCAACCTGCAGACACCAGACAACCAACCTGCAGACAACCAACCTGCAGACACCAGACAATCAACCTGCAGACAACCAGACAACCAACCTGCAGACACCAGACAACCAACCTACAGACAACCAACCTGCAGACACCAGACAACCAACCTTCAGACACCAGACAACCAACCTGCAGACACCAGACAACCAACCTGCAGACACCAGACAACCAACCGGCAGACACCAGACAACCAACCTGCAGACACCAGACAACCAACCTGCAGACACCAGACAACCAACCTACAGACAACCAACCTTCAGACACCAGACAACCAACCTGCAGACACCAGACAACCAACCTGCAGACACCAGACAACCAACCTGCAGACACCAGACAACCAACCTACAGACAACCAACCTGCAGACACCAGACAACCAACCTGCAGACACCAGACAACCAACCTGCAGACACCAGACAACCAACCTGCAGACACCAGATAACCAACCTTCAGACACCAGACAACCAACCGGCAGACACCAGACAACCAACCTGCAGACACCAGACAACCAACCTACAGACAACCAACCTTCAGACACCAGACAACCAACCTGCAGACACCAGACAACCAACCTGCAGACACCAGACAACCAACCTGCAGACACCAGACAACCAACCTACAGACAACCAACCTGCAGACACCAGACAACCAACCTGCAGACACCAGACAACCAACCTGCAGACACCAGACAACCAACCTGCAGACACCAGATAACCAACCTTCAGACACCAGACAACCAACCGGCAGACAACCAACCTGCAGACACCAGACAACCAACCTACAGACAACCAACCTTCAGACACCAGACAACCAACCGGCAGACAACCAACCTGCAGACACCAGACAACCAACCTGCAGACACCAGACAACCAACCGGCAGACAACCAGACAACCAACCTGCAGACAACCAACCTGCAGACAACCAACCTGCAGAGAACAGACAAAAACCCTGCAGACAACCAACCTGCAGACACCAGACAACCAACCTGCAGACAACCAACCTGCAGACAACCAACCTGCAGACAACCAGACAACCAACCGGCAGACGACAGACAGAAAAACACCTACACAGGTCGGCCAGTTGTTTTGTTGTTGTCATCTAGGTCTGGTGTCACGTGTACCCAGGTGTCATATATGCTACGTCTGCCGGCCTTGACCTCATTAGGATTTGGGTTAGGAACCTTTCCATTGGACAATAAACCAACATTCAATTCTACATGTTAGGAACCTTTCCATTTGAGAAGAGAGATAAACGTTAGTAAAACACGTTTTATACAGAAACAACTAAAACATCAAACGTTTAGTTGCTCTAATCAAAGCAGCGATTCTTTCAAAGCATTTTTGTCATTGTATACTGTAAGGTCAACTCCCCAGATAAATGCTTTTGCTTAACCCCCCCCCCTACCCCTTTCATTATAGAGCATTGATAAGACTTGTGTTTATGCTCTCATTGTATAGTTAGAGCATTGATAAGACTTGTGTTTACGCTCTCATTGTATAGTTATTGCTAATCAGTAATTTGGAGGACAGTATGCAACAGTAAGTCTATTATTAGGTTCTAAAATACTAAGCATCATATTTATTCTTTAAAATCCAAGTGTTTTTTAATCACATAACACCCCAACCGACTCAAGATATTGTGGTAGTGTTTTAAAAAGTCCACATTCAAGCAATCATTTTAAAACCCTCACACACTCCCCAAATACCAGCTTTTCCCACAATGAAAATCTTGACAAATTAAATATCATTCATATTTAATTCCGCAGATAAAAATTTGATTTCATTTCTAAAAAAATTAATTAAAAAACTGCATTGTTTTTTTTAATGAGTTTCTTTTTGTTTTTGTTTAAATAAAATGAGTGCCTGACACAGAGTCAAGTGGAGCGGTATGCCATCTATTGCATTATTACATAAAAGCTTGTTATTACAACGTTTTTTTACAAGCTTTAATTATATAGCTTCCTTTGTCCGCCGTGCTTCTTTCGTCATAGATCGAAACTGCCTAGCGAAATTTCGAATACTTCTAACTGACCGATTCGTTACAAGCTTGGCACGAGGGTCAAACCCCAATGACAATGCAATCTGACATCAAACTTGACTTAATAGGATGCCTAATTAATGTTATTTAAACATTTTATTCATTAAAAAAAAATCCTTTTATACTTCTGTTAAACAAAGTAAATTATTACCGTCTGCAGTTAAAATTAAGTGCATGCATTTCGTTTAATATCTAAATTATACACTACATAACTAGGAAATTGAAAATGCCGCAAGTATTTCAGATGTACTGATATCAAAACTCATAAATATAATTACATTTAAAAAAAACAAAACTGTAGTGTATTTTAATAAATAGAGTAAAGATCTTGATATCCCTAACATACTCACTAAAATATCTGCCTTAAAGCTAGTTTCTTGTTACAAATTACTGATAATCTCTCTATAAGTCAGTGTCAGTCAACACGAGTAATATATACCTTGTATTTAGTCTCAGCCTCAACTATAATACTGATTGATCAATTCGACATTGTGACTTTAATACTGATTTATCAGTTAGTCGTGTCCAAATAGATGAACACACAGATGAACAAACAGATGAACAAACAAACAGACATTGTGACCAAAGAAAAGTCGTACATGCCGGGGCCTGATGAAAAATGTGAGTACAGTTGCATGGGTTGTGTATGGGTTGTGTATGGGTTGTGTATAGGTTGTGTATAGGTTGTGTATAGGTTGTGTATGGGTTGTGTATGGGTTGTGTATGGGTTGTGTATTTGTTGTGTATGGGTTGTGTATGGGTTGTGTATGGGTTGTGTATGGGTTGTGTATGGGTTGTGTATGGGTTGTGTATGGGTTGTGTATGGGTTGTGTATGGGTTGTGTATGGGTTGTGTATGGGTTGTGTATGGGTTGTGTATGGGTTGTGTATGGGTTGTGTATGGGTTGTGTATGGGTTGTGTATGGGTTGTGTATGGGTTGTGTATAGGTTGTGTATGGGTTGTGTATGGGTTGTGTATAGGTTGTGTATAGGTTGTGTATGGGTTGTGTATGGGTTGTGTATAGGTTGTGTATAGGTTGTGTATGGGTTGTGTATAGGTTGTGTATGGGTTGTGTATGGGTTGTGTATAGGTTGTGTATGGGTTGTGTATGGGTTGTGTATGGGTTGTGTATGGGTTGTGTATAGGTTGTGTATAGGTTGTGTATGGGTTGTGTATGGGTTGTGTATAGGTTGTGTATAGGTTGTGTATGGGTTGTGTATAGGTTGTGTATGGGTTGTGTATGGGTTGTGTATAGGTTGTGTATGGGTTGTGTATGGGTTGTGTATGGGTTGTGTATGGGTTGTGTATAGGTTGTGTATGGGTTGTGTATGGGTTGTGTATAGGTTGTGTATGGGTTGTGTATGGGTTGTGTATGGGTTGTGTATGGGTTGTGTATAGGTTGTGTAAGGGTTGTGTATGGGTTGTGTATTTGTTGTGTATAGGTTGTGTATGGGTTGTGTATGGGTTGTGTATAGGTTGTGTATGGGTTGTGTATGGGTTGTGTATAGGTTGTGTATGGGTTGTGTATGGGTTGTGTATGGGTTGTGTATGGGTTGTGTATGGGTTGTGTATGGGTTGTGTATGGGTTGTGTATGACGTCATACCTTCTTACAGGCATCCATAACAACATTTCGCATCAATGGTGTGGCAGCTACTTTAATGGTGTCATTACCTGAAACACGAAAACTACTTTATGTGGTGTAGACAGTCTTTTACACGATGTAGATTTTTACATGATGTGGATAGGACATTCACATGATAATGACAAAACATAGACATAACATTACAAGACGTTGACAAAATGCAGTACGGTTTAATGTCAATACTGTATTTACGATCAACTGTTTATTCACAACATTCACCATAACCACATCCACCACCCTAGCCACACCCACAACCCTAGCCACATCCACCACCCTAGCCACATCCATCACCCTAGCCACACCCACCACCCTAGCCACACCCACCACCCTAACAACATCCACCACCCTAGCCACACCCACCACCCTAACAACATCCACCACCCTAACCACATCCACCACCCTAACCACATCCATCACCCTAACCACATCCATCAACCTAACCACATCCAACATCCTAAACCACACCAGCCACCACCCTAACCACATCCACCACCCTAACCACATCCATCACCCTAGCCACATCCAACATCCTAAACCACACCACCCACCACCCTAACCACATCCACCACCCTAACCACATACACCACACTAACCACATCCACCACCCTAAACCACACCACCCACCACCTAACTACATTCACCACCCTAACCACATCCACCACGCTAACCACATCCACCACCCTAAACCACACCATACACCACCCTAACCACATCCATCACCCTAACCACATTCACCAGCCTAAACCACACCACCCACCACCTAACTACATTCACCACCCTAACCACATCCACCACGCTAACCACATCCACCACCCTAAACCACACCATCCATCACCCTAACCACATCCACCACCCTAACCACATCCATCACCCTAACCACATCCACCACCCTAACCACATCCACCACCCTAACCACATCAATTACCCTAACCACATCCACCACCCTAAACACATCCATCACCCTAACCACATTCATCAACCTAACCACATCCCCACCCTAGCCACATCCATCATCCTAACCACATCCACCACCCTAACCACATCCACCACCCTAGCCACATCCATCACCCTAACCACATCCACCACCCTAACCACATCCACCACCCTAACCACATCCATCACCCTAGCCACATCCACCACCATAACCACATCCACCATCCTAGCCACATCCACCACCCTAGCCACATCCACCATCCTAGCCACATCCACCATCCTAAACCACACCATCCAACACCCTAACCACATCCACCACCCTAGCCACATCCATCATCCTAACCACATCCACCACCCTAACCACATCCACCACCCTAGCCACATCCATCACCCTAACCACATCCACCACCCTAACCACATCCACCACCCTAACCACATCCATCACCCTAGCCACATCCACCACCATAACCACATCCACCATCCTAGCCACATCCACCACCCTAGCCACATCCACCATCCTAGCCACATCCACCATCCTAAACCACACCATCCAACACCCTAACCACATCCACCACCCTAGCCACATCCATCATCCTAGCCACATCCACCACCCTAGCCACATCCACCACCCTAACCACATCCACCACCATAACAACATCCATCACCCTAGCCACATCCACCATCCTAGCCACATCCACCATCCTAAACCACACCATCCATCACCCTAACCACATCCACCACCCTAACCACATCCACCACCCTAGCCACATCCACCACCCTAACCACATCCACCACCCTAACCACATCCACCACCCTAACCACATCCACCATCCAAACCACACCATCCACCACCCTAACAACATCCATCACCCTAGCCACATCCACCATCCTAAACCACACCATCCACCACCCTAGCCACACCCACCACCCTAACCACATCCACCATCCTAAACCACACCATCCTTCACCCTAACCACATCCACCACCCTAACCACATCCATCACCCTAACCACATCCACAACCCTAACCACATCCATCACCCTAGCCACATCCACCACCCTAACCACATCCACCATCCTAAACCACATCCATCACCCTAGCCAAATCCACCACCCTAGCCACATCCACCACCCTAACCACATCCACCATCCTAAACCACATCCATCATCCTAACCACATCCACCACCCTAGCCACATCCACCACCCTAGCCACAATCACCACCCTAACCACATCCACCATCCTAAACCACATCCACCACCCTAACCACATCCATCACCCTAGCCACATCCACCACCCTAACCACATCCATCACTCTAGCCACATCCACCATCCTAGCCACATCCACCACCCTAAACCACACCATCCATCACCCTAGCCACATCCACCATCCTAGCCACATCCACCACCCTTGCCACATCCACCACCCTAACCACATCCACCACCCTAACCACATCCACGACCCTAACCACATCCACCATCCAAACCACAGCATCCACCACCCTAGCCACATCCAACATCCTAGCCACATCCATCACCCTAACCACATCCACCACCCTAGCCACATCAACCACCCTAGCCACATCCATCACCCTAACCACATCCACCACCCTAACCACATCCACCACCCTAACCACATCCATCACCCTAGCCACATCCACCACCCTAACCACATCCACCACCCTAGCCACATCCACCATCCTATCCACATCCACCATCCTAAACCACACCATCCAACACCCTAACCACATCCACCACCCTCGCCTAATGCATCACCCTAGCCACATCCACCACCCTAACCACATCCACCACCATAACAACATCCATCACCCTAGCCACATCCACCATCCTAGCCACATCCACCATCCTAAACCACACCATCCATCACCCTAACCACATCCACCACCCTAACCACATCCACCACCCTAGACACATCCACCACCCTAACCACACCATCCATCACCCTAACCACATCCACCACCCTAACCACATCCATCACCCTAACCACATCCACAACCCTAACCACAGCCACCACCCTAGCCACATCCACCATCCTAGCCACATCCACCATCCTAAGCCACACCATCCATCACCCTAACCACATCCACCACCCTAACCACATCCATCACCCTAACCACATCCACAACCCTAACCACATCCATAGCCCCTAGCCACATCCATCACCCTAACCACATCCACCATCCTAAACCACATCCACCACCCTAACCACATCCACCACCCTAACCACATCCACCACCCTAACCACATCTACCATCCTAAACCACATCCATCACCCTAGCCACATCCACCACCCTAGCCACATCCACCATCCTAGCCACATCCACCATCCTAGCCACATCCTCCACCCTTGCCACATCCACCACCCTAACCACATCCACCATCCTAGCCACATCCTCCACCCTTGCCACATCCTCCACCCTAGCCACATCCACCATCCTAGCCACATCCTCCACCCTTGCCACATCCACCACCCTAACCACATCCACCACCCTAACCACATCCACGACCCTATCCACATCCACCATCCAAACCACACCATCCACCACCCTAGCCACATCCACCATCCTAGCCACATCCACCATCCTAAACCACACCATCCATCACCCTAACCACATCCACCACCCTAACCACATCCATCACCCTAACCACATCCACAACCCTAACCACATCCACCATCCTAGCCACATCCACCACCCTAACCACATCCATCACCCTAGCCACATCCACCACCCTAACCACAGCTACCACCCTAGCCACATCCACCACCCTAACCACATCCATCACCCTAGCCACATCCACCACCCTAGCCACATCCACCATCCTAAACCACACCATCCATCACCCTAACCACATCCACCATCCTAACCACATCCACCACCCTAACCACATCCACCACCCTAACCACATCCACCACCCTAGCCACATCCACCACCCTAACCAATTCCATCACCCTAACCACATCCACCATCCTAAACCACACCATCCATCACCCTAACCACATCCACAACCCTAACCACATCCACCACCATAACCATATCCACCACCCTAACCACATCCATCACCCTAGCCACATCCACCATCCTAGCCACATCCACCACCCTAACCACATCCACCATCCTAGCCACATCCACCACCCTAACCACATCCACCACCCTAACCACATCCATCACCCTAGCCACATCCACCATCCTAGCCACATCCACCATCCTAAACCATACCATCCACCACCCTTACCACATCTATCACCCTAGCCACATCCACCATCCTAGCCACATCCACCATCCTAAACCACACCATCCATCACCCTAACCACATCCACCACCCTAACCACATCCATCACCCTAACCACATCCACAACCCTAACCACAGCAACCACCCTAGCCACATCCACCACCCTAACCACATCCACCACCCTAACAACATCCACCATCCAAACCACACCATCCACCACCCTAACCACATCCATTACCCTAGCCACATCCATCATCCTAGCCACATCCACCATCCTAGCCACATCCACCACCCTAACCACATCCACCACCCTAACCACATCCATCACCCTAGCCACATCCACCATCCTAGCCACATCCACCATCCTAGCCACATCCACCACCCTAACCACATCCACCACCCTAACCACATCCACCACCCTAGCCACATCCACCATCCTAAACCACACCATCCACCACCCTAACCACATCCACCACCCTAACCACATCCACCACCCTAAACACATCCACCACCCTAACCACAGCTACCACCCTAGCCACATCCACCACCCTAACCACATCCACCACCCTAGCCACATCCACCACCCTAACCACATCCATCACCCTAACCACATCCACCATCCTAAACCACACCATCCATCACCCTAACCACATCCACAACCCTAACCACATCCACCACCATAACCATATCCACCACCCTAACCACGTCCATCACCCTAGCCACATCCACCATCCTAGCCACATCCACCATCCTAGCCACATCCACCACCCTAACCACATCCACCACCCTAACCACATCCATCACCCTAACCACATCCATCACCCTAGCCACATCCACCATCCTAAA